ATGCAATTACTACTGCTGCTTCAGACTGTGCTGTCACTGCAGTATAATGAATTACTTTATTCTACCTTTCTTTGCTTACTTTTGCATTCTGTCCATCCGTCTCTCTGCTTTCCTCTCACTCTCTCTCTCTCTCTCTCTCTCTCTATTTACTTGCTTTTTTATTCGTGGGTTTTGAGGCTAGGGCCTATCTATTGAGTTTTCTCGTACCTTTTGATCGAACCTATTGAAAAAATGAAAACTCCGAATTCGAAATACAGAGTAGAAAATACAATGATTAGTACTACAACGAAAAACAAAAAAATATTAAAATATGTCGGTTGTACAAATAGATGCATTACTATTCTATGTAGGAAGATGATCTAATCTACAATTTAATATAATCAACCGTACTTTATCCTGAATATTTATATTTTGATTAATTTTTAAAAAATTATTTTAAGATATCTACCATTTATTATGAATATTTGTCTAAAGTATTATTTTAATAATATTACTAATGAAAATTTAAAATTCATATGGTAAAAAAATAAACATAATTTCTCAATTATATTCGTAAATTTTACAATACATTTGAATATTTATACATTTAAATGGTCTAGTAAAAATGATTTTCTATTTAAATTATCATAGAAGGTATAAATAAAATTGGGATTCCCAATAAAATTGATAAGATCTAAGTAAATAAAATGACACGATATTAAATAGTTTCATATATATACATTAAAATCAATTGGATGGGCTGTCACGGTGATTCTGATCAAATTCAAACTAAAAAAATTTTCTGACGCTGCCCGAGTCAATCGCTCATCGTCTTGTCCTCGGAAGTTTCTACGAAGTTCACCTCGAAAATCGAAGAGGACGTGGATAATGTCTCAGCAGTGTCAATTATTTCTTTTCGGGTAGCCATTTAAAAGTGCAATGTCGGTGTTGGGCTTATTGAATATACATACAACCTATTCGTTCAATTGGCCTTTCTATAAATTCAATTAGAATCTAGTCGATAAAGGTTCCAATTTGATTAAAATATGAACTGTAGTTGTTTTTTTTCTGTTTTTTCTTTTTCTTTTTTTTTTACAGGCTACTATATCTCTCTTAATAGGGTATTGTCAGTCCATAGTTCAAACTATCACAATTCAAACCTACCGTTTCAAGTAATATATGGATGCACATTTATCGATTTTTTTTCTCTACAGATTATAAAAACTTCTGCTTTGTACTACTGGAAAAGTCCGTAATTTAAAAATCTATAGCCCTTTTTTTTTTTTTTTTTTTATATAAATAATGGGTTAGTTATTCCAATAATACTCATATTTTTCAGTATTTCAACGCGTTTTCGCATTTATATAGTTTTGACAGCGTTCTTTAAGGTATTCAAACAATAATCCTCACTTGGTCGAGAGAGTAATTATACGATATTTAACTTTCGTCCCTCTTGTCTCGATAAATAAAGAAGTCTTTCTCTGGCTCTTATTTCAACAATTTATAGGTTTATTATAAAATGATAGCCTTCTATTTTTTTTATTTTCTTTCTTTAAAATTCAAATGACGCACATAAAAAGTTATATGAAAATAATTTAGTAGATGTTAGTTCTACGTCATCTATATTATTATAGATTTATGCAAAACCATAATCGTAAACACCTTTATACATTATAATATAATAATATTATATCATAATTAAATACAGCTGATCTATTTCTAAATTGTAATAAAAATTGAAATATATGTACGCATTTAAATAACGTATTAACTATTTACACCACATAATTATATTATTTTAAAACTCAATATAGATTGAGTAAAATTTTTTTAATTTAGACATCATATTGTGAATTCTAAACACATATTATACTTTTTAATGTATTTCTTCATACTTGATATCTTTAGAAGATGAACATTTTCGAACCACTATTTAATTACTGAAAATCTTTCATTCTTTAGTTTATATTTTAATTAAAATATATATAATTGCTTGGAAAAATGTAAATACTGTAAGTTTATAAGAAAATGAATATCAATTTATTTTTAAAGATGAATTATGAAAAATTGATAAGATATTTATACCAATTAATTCCTTGTAAACGTGTAAAGATTCACAATTTCACCAAAGAAATGATAAAATGTTATTTATAAAAATCTTTAGAAAATAATTTTATTTGAATTATAACTACGAAAAACATTGAACATATATTTTTATATGGACCCAAAATTATATATAAATGACTAATTGTTTTAATATAGGGTAATTTATAGTAATTAATATAGGGTAATATATAGAAATATCTTAAATATAACATTAATAAATTATAGTTTTTCGTCGTGGTAATGCGTATATATATATATATATATATATATATATATATATATACAATATCAAATGCAATTTAATTTAATCGCAGTTACGCTACAAAAAATTAAAAGAATTCACTCAGTATTGTGGTCGATTAGAATATTAAAAAGTGTTTTCATTTGCACAATTCTATTCTATTATACTATTAAAAAGAAATTATACATGTTTGATTTATCGATGTATCCACTAACGAAGTTTTTGTAAATTTTGTTGTAGAAACGTAATCTTGTAATGAAAAGAAAACAATAGTTTCGCGTAAATAGAGTGTAAAAGTTATAAATAATCTCTTTTCTAATTAAAAATAATCAAATTAAATGATTCAATAAGCTTACATAAAGCTGTGAGCTGAACTAATTTATTTGCAGTGCTACATCGGAGTAATCATGGGGTGGGGAGGGAGATAACCAAAGGATGACAAATAAAAAATCTTCAAATTTTATTTTCAGATCTCTTTGTAAAAAAACAGCCAAATCTACTTTATTTCTCTCTCTCTCTCTCTCTCCCTCTCTTTTATTTGCAAAAATCAGAGTAATAGAAAGGATTCACTTTGTTCGATCCAACTCCCACACTTATCTATATCGCCTATTCATATATTGTATTTGGCAGTCGCCTAAGGCGTCTAGTCACTCAGCTATTTTAGCGGTGAATGTCAATTGATTAAAGTTAAAAGTATATTGCACTCGTGGCATTGATGGTATCTAGACTTTCGCTCTGTGAAAAAAATCCGATCTTGAGATTAGTGACAATTACTATTCGATTATCCGATTTCATAAACTATGCAACGCTTCCGAAAGAAGATCATCTAGCAACAATGAAGAAAAATAATTTAGATCATTAGATAGTTCAATCCTACTAAATTTGACTTTTATACATTGAAATAAAATAAAAAACATTTAAGGTGCAATTTTAGAGCTAATTTTCGAACCGTTAATAATTTGAAAAACCTTAAATTCTCGAAATTAGCTGCAAACTATAGTGACATTATTCTTTTATGAAGTAAGAAAACGCTGTTTCTAAAAAAGTAATATTGATGACATTTTTCTTTTATTGTTATGTTGTACGAATTAATTATTAGCTGTGGACAAAAGCTTCGGTTACGAGCAAATTTCAAGATATTCTAGTTTTTTGTAATGACAATTATAAGATTATGCGAAATAAAAAAATAAATACATGTAAATGAGAATCACAAAGTTGAGTAGAAAGTTACTTATTTTAAAATACGATGCATACAATATTTAAAATTTAATCGGATGACTATGAAAGTAAGCCAGTACTTTGGCTTAAATTTATTCTCAGCTTAAAAATAAAATTAATTTTGATTTATGAAACTGGTAGTCTACCTAGAATATTTTTTTTTAATTTATCAACAAGAGCGTACATTATCCAAACAATGTAGTTTATAATTATTAGCACTTACAGTTCTACGTTAAGAATTTGTACAGAAGTAAATATGCAAAAAATTATATAACTGAATTTGAAAAAAAGTGCAAATAACACCTTATATTATATTAAAGTAATAATAATATTGAAATATTGTACTACAATACTTAAAATACTGTAATGTTAAAAATAAATAATTTTAATGTTCAAGTGATTTAAGCATTAAAATATAAAAAATAAATTACATTTTTAAGTTCGTTTATGTGGCTATATATTTCATTAGTAATAGGAATTTACAGATTTGCTTAGCTTATTATAATTGTTATATTAGAAACAATATGTATCAGCTATGAAATTAAGTAAACTTAGTTGAATTGATTACTTTAATCTATTCATATATTATATATAATCAGCAATATGTAAAATTATCTATAATTTTCCTAAGCATTTTAAGGGTATTGTTTTATCAATATGCATAAAATTGTGTTTGTGTGTTTTTTTTATTTTATAATTACAATAGTCAACATAATACTCAACAAGAAAGACTTTCGTTTAAAGTAGTCGCGCTTATTATAATTTATTATATTTATGTAAACGTTATTATAATTTTATAAACGAATGGATTGTTTATATATTTAATGTGAATGTTTGCATTTAAATTAATGCTAACTTCAGTAGAAACTGGTTGAAACTGGTTACCAAAAATCATTTACATGTACAATATTGTAGTTGCTTCGGCCACTTTGGCAATTAAGAAAATTGTCATTTATAATGTAATTGTATGGAAGTGTTCGGTATGAATGTTTGCAAACGAATTATACAAACACAGTGAGATAAGGGTGTGCGCGCAAAGGATCTGTTGTACCTGTCGTCGATAAGAACAAAGCCCGAGGGCAATTTCTTCGCTAACTCCCACTGTTTCTGTCTTTGTCTCGCTCTGTCTCTCGCTCACCGATGCGTCGACTTATCGACTGTCGGATGAGCGCCGACAATGCATTCGCAAAATGATGAGAAAGCTCATTCAATCACCCACCCACATCCACACACACACGTATTTGTAAATTTATATCAGCTATTCAGTTGAAACGTAACAAAAGCGACGTGCATCCATTGTCATATTTAAACAATGAAAGTACGATTAATAAATTCATTGAAGTGAGGCAAGTAAAGTGTTTCTGCAACGGGAATGAATTTAGAACGTTTTGCACCTACAACGCTCGCTGGATGCTTATCTGTATTTTCCGTGTTGTCTTATTCACAAATATGGGCATTAGTCAACGATGTTGTAGTATATTTCCATATCACGTGCAAGATTCTGAAAGAAATGTTGATAAGGATTATGAATTTATATCATTCGAATTAGTTAAAATCCTTGAATCCATGAATACACGGGAAGCTTTTTATAAATGTTCGGTTTGTCTTTATTAATTAATAACATTAATTTCTAGATAGATTGGAATATGGATAGAATGTAATCTAGTTAAGAATGCATTTTTAAATATACGTATCAGTAAATCAATTATTTGTTATAATGGGGCAATTACGTTATTAGAAATTAATTTCTCGCATGAATGATGAAGTAATTTTGAAATTCCATTTTCATATACTGCAATACTCAATATTATACATTTATTTATTATCTTCCATATGCATAAATAATAATAATAATAATATTAATAATAATAATGATAATGACGATGGTGACATTAATAATAATGATAATAATAATAATATAAACATTAGATGAAATTCTGATTTTGATGGATTTTTATGAACGAATGGGAGCAATATTAAGCATCATGTAATTTGTAAATTTGATTTTCCAATAAAAATTTAGCCCAAATATTCTATGGTTCCCAATATCTGCCCAAATATCTTCTATGTAAATAAAACTCAGTGATATTGAAATTGCAATCTCATTACATATTAAATACTACTGTTAAAAGTATAAAAATGTACTTATCACAACACTTACAATAATATCTCGTTTCTCATTTTTTTGTATTAATTGTTTGTCATTGACAGATGTATAATATAACGCTTTCAAAGCTAATACGAAATACTTCAGTGCCAATTCCTTCGAACGATAAAATGAAAATAGGAGAAAAGTCTGTTCCTTGATATCAATCGGATGAATCATACAGCCTGTCTTCACCTGTATGTACAATTATTATAATACATAATGCTAAATAGCGTATTCATAATTTTAAATGAATACAATGATTTACAAGTTTTAGAAAAGAAAAATGATAATAATAAGATAATTATGCGTCTCTTACCTTATAACTATAAGCAATTTTATGTTTTGTGCATAGTTCGTTGATCGAATTATCAGCAAATAGACCATCGATGTATAATTTTCCACTGCATACGACGTAACGATGATTCGAATCGAATGGTGATATATCCAATTGAGCTTTCTGATTTGGGCTAAATGCAATAGTTATTTAATATTTCCTTCTTCTAAAATTGAGCACAAGCGTAATAAGATGATTTACTGGCATTTATAATACTTTTGAAAGAGGTAAAATTCGCTTTATAAAATATGTCTTTGTAAAAAATAAAATGACTTATACAAAAAACACATTCCAGGATAAATAAATGTCGAAAATTATAATCGCTAGAAAGAGTATTATTTTTTTTTTGTTGATAATTTTATGTGTAAATTTACTTTTTCAAACTGTTCAGTATTTTGAAGATATAATGACATAGATGCAATTATCTCTAGACATTTGCCTCATTAAGATCTACAATAGTATACATATAATATTAGATTTTTATTATAAAAAATTTAATTTATAATATTATAAATAATATGTGTTTTATGATTGATTTATTTTATGAATACTTTATTAAAAAATTTTTTTTAAAACTTGATTTTGAAATTAAATTTTGAAATACATTCACTATAATTTTATAATTCTAATTCAAATAGATTTTTAAAATTTCCTTCCATATATTTTGGTAATAATAACAATGATATATAATTAATTTGTAATTTTTATTAAAAATCTAAAATACTTGTATTTCAAAAGAAAACATTTCTATTCTCAACTCACTTTATTCCATCTAAAGATTTTTCTTTCTCAATTCTCTGCCTTATTACAATAAGCTATTAAATATAAAATCTGCATTAAGAAAAGAAAATAGAAGAGAACAAAAAAGAACACGGTAATAGGATATATTTTGTTTATATTTATACATTGCGGAGATAATTATTTTAATGTTTTTACCATTTGGGCTCGGGTATATCCAAACAAAATCTTCTCCAATCGTCGAAAGATAGAAGATCCGTATAATAAGGATCAATATCCACTACCCAATAATTCAAAATCTATATTTACGATAAAAAAAAGTTAATACTATCAGTATTATAATAATTAAAACTGTTTAATTTGCGAATTAAACAATAGAATAAAAATCTGCACTATTTAATATTTTTGTATTGATTTCGAATTTATAGTTTTAAATTGCCTAGAAATATGATAATTAATCATGTAAAAATGTTATTGTTTTTTTTTAATCACAATAGTTGTAATTCTATTTATCGAATAAATGAATATCATTAAACATAAAGACATAAACGGTCATATTTTTGTATTAAAATGCAGAATTTGATTCGAGATCATAAAATCCCACTATTATCATTCAGTACTCATAAATTTCAACAACTTTCGAAACATAGTAAAAGGCTTAAAAGGATATTTAAAGCGAAGAGTAAATCAAGAGATTAAAATTAGTAATCTTTAACTGTTTGTAAGTCGAAAAAGAAATAAAATAGCGATTCCCTTCCCTTTTAAATAAATTGTACTTAATCCAATACACCGGCTAAGAAAGAGTTAAATCGCTACATTGCGAATTACAGTGGACGATTGTTAATAAAAAAACTCAAGCCGATCCTTTCGTAAAAGCCAGGTAGTGAGGTTAGAACATAACGAAGTCTTTGGCTCTTGGCTGAACGGTGTAGCAGGTAACGAGGGAGGGGTAGCGGCACCTTATTATCGTTGAGGTCGTAGCTAGGAAAAACGACGATATCGACACCGAAGAAGCCGATGTAGAGCTCGGCTACGAGGAGATCGCCCAGCCTGTTCGCCAAGTCCTGCAGCATCGAGTCAGGTAGCGTCGTTTGCGGTATGATGAAGCCCAAGTCGTTGGTGAAGCAGTTGCTCCCGTTGTGCATATGGATGACGTCACCGGTTGTCCTGAGGCTGGCCTTGGCCGTGTCGTGCTCGATAAAGAATCCTAAGCTGACCGTCCGGAAGTCGACAATAGGACAGCACATCAGCACCGCACCTGCGACCAATGAATTATGATTATCACGTTATCGATTACAAATTCTCACCTTGCGCCGACACTATTTTTTTTCTTTTTTTTTTCTTTTTTTTTAAGTCTGTCGCTTACCAGACATTTTCTTACTTTGAATTAAATTCGCGATGGCTATATCGCTGGTATTTTAGATTTTATTCGTACGATTTACATTCGAATGTGCTTAGCATGTTGCGATAGCTTGGCCAGCACTTAGTGAAATTTGTTAGATTAGGTATATGGGAATATTTCAAATGCGCAATTTTTGCTTGACGTTAAAATTCATAAAAACTAATATAATGATTTTATACAGTATTTTTCGCTTATTTGTTTTCTTGTTGAACATTGAGTTATAAATCATTATTTCGTTTGGAACTTTTTTTTTCTTTTTTTGAATTCTATATCACAAGAAAATATTTCAACTTTAAATAATATAATGAACTTGATAATTGCTAAAAAATTCCTTAATTTCTTTTCTATTTCGAATTGTCGGACAATATGATAATAGGAATCTGTATATTAATATAACTCTTCAAGACATAAATAATAAGAAAAATTCTAAAAATCCATTTTCGATTTTCAAATCTTAACTTCAAATTATAATACTCTTATATACATACTTATACATACACTATTTAATGTATTCCTGTATTAATCTCAGTGCATAATATATATATATATATATATATATATATATATATATTCGTATATTTATTACATAAATGAGCTTCTTTAAGAATATAATAATTATTTAGGTAAGTAATAAATACATTTTTTTTATTAAATATGCTATTCTAGAAATGAGCCGATTATAAATTTATACTACAAATTTATTTCTGTTTCCAAAATTAGTAATAATATTAACAATTAAGCTATATTAATTTAGCAGGGATAAAGTGTATTTAACTTTAAAAAAACATATCCTTATTATCGTATAAAATCAGCAATATAAATCAATATTTACAATAATTATTAATTTTTACAAAGTAAAAGAAAGAATTAACACCATTAAATTTTTTTATCATTAACTTCCGTGAACAGTATTTTTTGGTATAATTCGACGGTATTTTGAAATAACTTTATTATAATTAATGATAAAATAGTTAATAATATTGTAAAAATATTTTATACCATCAGTAATAATATTGAAATAATTAAATTATATTTGTTTTATAAAATTTTCTTTTTATTTATTTATTATTATTATAAAATCGAATAAAATCGAATATTGATGTAATATATGTAAGATAATATCAAAACTAATAAATTTGAAACAAATTATTTCGTACGAATGGGATGAAATACAAGAAGTTTTTCAGTAACAGAATTGACCCAAAACGTGATTGATTAAGTGATCTTAACAATTATTTGAGAACTAATACAAATTTAAACTAATAGCTTAAATAATATAAAGAAATCAATATTAGTAATATTTTATTTTCATGAAAAATAAAATTAATAGATTTAATAAAAAAAAATACGACAGAAATTCTATATAAACGTTGGAAATAAGAATACGAATGATCATCCTAATAATCGTAAGATTTAAATAATTTATTCATCGTCGTAAATATTTAAATAAAATCCATAAGTTTTAATGATAAAATATAAAATTGACATTACAAAAATATCTCCCCTTGATAAAGTCTGTACTGTATTGAATTATTAAAAACAATAAAAAGTTTTCAGAACTCATAAATAAAATCAATTTTAATTTGACGCAACAGCATTAACCCCTTGGGTGCATCATACAATGTTGATAACTAATATAATTAATATAAAATAATAAATGAAATATGCATTAAGTTATTCAATTAAGTATTCTACTCGAATGTGTATGTGTATGTATACGATCGGGTTTATGCACTTTCCGTTTCTTCTATACGTGTGTATAAATGTATTACAACAAGTAGTGAAATATTAATGTAAGTAAATTAATAATATTCATATAAATAGTAATTTGCCATTTTTTATGTTGTAATCGGTTCTATTCTCTGTCAAAGAATGCTGCAACTGCTCTTAATTCGTAATTTTCATCCTCTCTTTCGGACTCAGCGGTAATAACCTGAACGACAACTACTTCAATAGTTATAAGCAAAAAGAGTAGCACAAATGCTGCTAAATTTGTTTCTTGATTAGATATAATGTCACCTTCTACTGATATTGTAGATAATATTAAGGTTACAAAACACACCATATCTTTTACACAATGTTGTAAAGTAATTACATAAAGTACACAGATTTAAGGTTCCGACCGACTCTATTGAAATTAGACACGTGCTTTCATCAATCTTCACACATTAGTAATGATTTATTGGATTGTTTTCTTTTAATTCCTTGTTAATCAAAATGGAGACAATTTTGGCAATACTGATTAGAAAAAAAAAGTTTAATGCTAACGGTACTTTGTCTGGATAAAGAATAAATTACTCATTTCAGCTTTAGGTGAGAATTTTTAATAATAAACCGAGTGAAATATTTGGCATACGATTTCAAAGAAAGTTAACCTCGATATTATTGACTGAGTTGCATATGAGAAGAGTCCGTGATATAAATATTATTAACTGGAAAATACATGCAATTAAAGAGTTAAGTAAATAATAAATAAATTAGTCAGATGTTTATCAACAATGAAAGGCACAAATACGAACTGAAATAACGTTACATGATTTCAATTTATATAAACTTCTCTACTACCGGGTTGGCATATGGAAGTTCCGTAAAATTCCTTTTTTGTAAATACAATTAAGATGTTGTAATTTTCACTAACGGAAGTTTCTCAAAATTTTCTTGGATCATACTTCCGCTTATTTCGTCGAGTTACTTTTATTTTTTAATATGCAAGCATTTTACATGCACAAGTCTGACTATAAAATATTAAAAACATTCCTTACAATTAATTTATAATGAAAACAATAAACTAATTTAAAAATAATAAATCAAAATAACAATTACATTTTGATAAATGTAATAATCTGTGTCATATTAACATGAATCGACACGTAATAATAAAGAATAAAAAAAAATTGTGGCTTTAATATTTGTTGCTTTTATAGAAGGAAAGTATGATTGTGATTTGCTTCAAAAATAGTTTTGATATATATATATTTTTTTTAAACAAACAAATGTATAAATATAATTAAAGCACTGGTTTTATTAATAGTGTCGTACTGTTAAAAATTCAAAATTGAAATAATGTACCAATAATAATCTATGACTATATTGATTCAATTGAAAAATTGATTTTATTCAAATTCAAATCCTTTATGTACTTTAAAAGATATAAATTAAAAATAATACATTGTAATGTACATTTGTTTAAATTACAATATTTTTTTTTGTATATAACATGTCTTCGCTGTATTGTAAATTCATTATAATTTCAATTATTTGTTACAATTATCTATTTCATCTATTAAAATTAAAAAATGCTATTTTAACGTCTATATTACAAATGTTAATAATAACTTTTCGTGTATCTGGGTTTTTGCCTTTTAATATTTATATTCTTACTAAATTTAAAATTGAACAAATTCATTAACTATGTTGGTATTTGAGTAAGATTTTCTAATTAATTGATTTATTAAAGATCGAAATATTTCAATATTTTTGTTTGTTTTTTTTATATTTAAAAAAGTCTTTACATAAAAAAATTACAATCAAGATTTTACATTATTGAAGTACATGTTGAGGAAAACAAACATTTTAACGGAGTAGGAAATTTTGTAAAATCATCTCAGTTGAATCGAATTCTTCTATCTTTTAAGAAGTTAAATATAAAAATTTAATGTACACAAATAACGAATCAACTTGTTGTGCAAAATTGTTAACTTTCAAAATATAATACACAATTAAAAGACAAGCTATTGCGTGATATTTTTTTTAATTCTTGTTTTTAAATTACTTTTCAGTATAGTGTAACTATTATCGCTTATAATTATATAATTAAAATCGTGTAAATTGCTTACCGTATTCCTTTATTCTGTCGAAGAAATCGCTATGATCCATATGAGATTCTGTTTGAAATATCAGTTTTTGTGGAAGTATGTGTGCCAGATAATATGGTAGTTCGTTCTTAGAAGTCCGAAACGGAAAATTATCGTTATTTTTTTATACTATTCGTTGATTAAATGTTGACGTATGTTATATATGTAACTCGAAAATTTTCTTAGTTCGAAAAGTATGATTTTTTAAACACGTCTAGTATTTCAATTAATACAATTAGACGAAAGATTTTTATTTCATGAAAAAAAAATTCACGCCAAAAATACCTAAAATTTAAGAATAATTATGCTTTTCCTTAATTATACATTTTTAATTGATATTGCTTTTTTAAATACTAATCAGTTTAGTTTCTTCTGTAGCGTGAACTGAATTTATTAGTATGAAAATATGTTTGTTAAGCAAAAGTAAGCTTTCCAATTAATTTCCATCCAAATATTATCGTCTATCGCAGATTTGACATATTATTGATAATTCTCTTAAATATTTAATGTACTTAGCTATTCTAAAATTTGAAATAACACTGACAATGTCGCAATGATTGATTATAACAGAAGTTGCATTAACGTTTGTACAATGAATTTCCGGTGATGAAATTGAAAAACACTACGATCCAAAAACATCATTGGCGCTTCACTTCACTACTCAACATCCTTTCAGCTACGGATCTACATACCTCCAGTCACTCGTCAAACTTACCATCCTTTTGAAGCATTCGGCAGGGTCCAGCTGGATAAATGCACTTTGATTGCTGCAAAATCCGTAATTCAATTTTAGGAGCCACTTCCTATGAAAACCCCAGGGCAAACGAGTCATCATCTCGGCCATTCTCAGGCATAACTGTTTGAGAAAAATAATGGCTTTTTTACGTTCTAGCAGAGATACAATTACTGGGAAATTCAATTTCGGTACTTTCAGCCGATAAAATGGCCTTCTTTAGTCTCATCGACATCTTACGTCTTGTAAATTCTTGACTTTGGAGTACGGCGGGTGTTTGATATTTGCCTCGGCTAGAATTGACATCACGTATTCTTTGTTGAGTAAACGCTCCTGGAACTTTAAGCAGGGTCCTGCATTGTGAAAAAATATAAAATAAAACGAGTGTAGTGTCATTCACCTTAAATACTGCTATGATACTGAAAATTACAAGCATCTATTCTTTCTTTTGACATATTGACTATAATATGTAATCTCTTTTCGTTTGTATTATTTGGTCGATAAAGAATTTTAATGGAATGATGATGATAAGTTTTACTTCACAAATTCATTTATTATGAATAGAAATAAAAATATAGTCGATAAATATTTTTTTAAATGGATACAGGGCTTAATAGTATTTCTACAAAAGCAATTAATTCTTGAAAATTATATTTGCTCATATATAAAAGTTGTAAAAATAAATTATACTTATTATTCATTTTTATAATATAATCATATAAAGTTTTAAAAGAATGCAAAATAATAAAGTATATATATATATATATATATATATACATATATAATTTTAATTACAAAATTCCTTGCTTGAAGTTAATACTAATGAGATTATTATTTAATAATAATAAAAGTTTTTAAGCAATAATTTTAATTTATATTATCCTTCATTTTATAGCGATTAATACCGCTCGCTAAGTTTATTATAAGCTTGAACTAAAAGCTTACGGTACCTTAAAACCGTTTCATAAGTTATTAGAAAAAGTTTATAGGTTAAAGAATATTTCGATACGGTACAATATATCTAATTTAATAACATAAAAGTATATGAGAATAAGAAAGATACTATTCAATTATTTGACAAACTACAAACTACTTGTTTTAAAATCATAGAACAAGCAATTGAAAATAAAATATATCTTACCAATAATTGGTGTTTTTAATTCGCAAGCAATGAAAAGGTCTGTTTTACTAAGTACACCTGGAATTATAAATCCAGAACAACCAGACGAAATGTAACTGACTCTGTGGTAAACACTTGGCGTGTAAAATAGACTTTCACACCCACTTGGATATTTACTATTAATATCCTCGTGTAAGCTAAACAATAAAAATACATTATAACGATTGGAATAGATTAAAATTTAAAAGTAGTTAACTAAGTAACATATATATTATAAACTATCGGCATACTTTTTAAAATCATTGACAATAATCCTTAATCTCGAGAGGCAGACATCCGGTCTGGCATTGGCAATAAAATTATACAAGTTGAGTTTCATTTTTAAATTTGATTTTCCCGGATATATGTAAAGTACGTTTGCATTTTTGTTTACTAACCAACCAATTCGGCCAATCTACGATAAATGATTATTCATAATTTTTTAATAGAACAGATTTCAAGACTTAAAAGAAAAATAATCCAACTATATGGATGAATTGCCTGAATATTTTGTAAAGATGTAAATTTCTTTCGGTCTATGCACCTCAGCCAACAAGGATAGCTCATCGAGGGTAAATGAATAACCAAGTGTGACTGACTTCTTATACACTTCCATCTTTTTGTGGTGCAATTAGACCTGATGAAGTTTGATGCATATGAAAAATTGTAAATGTTAATTTCATAATTATTGTAGCAAAAGAGGCGAATGTAATTATGTAATTAAATACACTACTAGATTCAATTGATCGTAATGTCTATATATGTTTAATTTATTAATAAAAATATTGCATTTAAATTCATTTAAGTGTACGTTCAGTCTAAATGGACATAAATAGAGATAAAAAAAAGAAAGGTAACCCCATAAATATTACTGACCATTTCATTAAGTTTAAGCAGAGCGTAGAGTATGCGTACAATTCAATATCTTTGAATCTATTTACATTGTGAAAAATATGTTTACGTGCAGGTATTTTACAAACATCCTTGCAACAACTTCTTGCATCGTCAGTGTTTTGTATTTGACTGCTCGACGTCAAAGCCCTCATTCTAATGTCCCGTTTTTCTAAAATTACATCGACCAGCTTCAAAAATGCTCCCCACTTTCCAATACTTTTACATGGCATCACATAGTCAAGATTGAAAGGCTCCAGAGATCTATTTAGCCTGCTCGAAGTTAAAGACAATAACTTCCCAAAGTGGCGAAAGATCAAAGGATTATAGGGAAATGCACATCCTCTATCACTTGTACTATCTGATATGGATATGGACTTGCTAAGTATTGCGGCAACGTTCGCTGTCGAATCGCTTACACTAGTTTGGAAAATTTCTTTATTATAAACAGAAAATTAGTTCTCTTAAAGTATGAAAAGTAATCGAGGCAATGTTGAAAAAAAAATTATTTTTTTGACATTCTATTCTTAAAATTTGTAGTTGTTTTTGTTATTCAGACATAAAAAAATTTCATATTTCCATGTCTATTATATTTTCATTTAATTATTGTACATGAAAATGCATTTTCTATATACACAGATCGATTTAATATAATTTAAATATAAATAACACATGTCTATAGATATATTATTATTATTATTATTATTATTATTATTATTATTAACTACAAAAATATTTAAACAGTAAAATTAATTCAGATGATGAAATTTTTATGTTAAATATTTATCTTTTTGTAATTATTTTATTTTATCTGTACTGAAAAGCACATACTTAGTTGAATGCAATGGCATTGGAGAGATGAAAAATTTATTTTTATTTCTTGTATAACATATAGTCTGAGCATTATTTATATGTTCAATTATTTCTCGGTTGAGTCTTTCTATAAGAATATTAGCAAAATATTGTATATCTCTTTCTTTGTAAATACGTTTCCGTACATATGCAGTACAAAATAAATTTGATTGGGAGGAAAATTTCGAGCAATTACAGTCTGATATTGTAACGGACTCTGATTCTTCAATTTCACCAAAACTCTCCGGTTCTTCAGAAACTGTTTTTGTGCATTCTTCAATACACTTTCGTAATCGTTCCGAACCTGGCATTGCATTTTGTAAATCTCGTAAAACCACCAATGCTTCTTCTGACGTGATTTTTATCAAGTTACGTAATTTAAGCTCATCTACTGATATTTCCTTAGTTACTAAATTAATTTGTCTCATGATGAAATTTTGTATTTATATCAAAATCGTAAACTGTTTTCTTTGAAATATATTAGAAAAAAATTTAATTGTACCTAAGTCAATTAGATTATGTAGAAATATTTATATTAATTTTTTAACAGGTTATGAAAAACTGACAGAATTTTTATGTGAACTGAAGTTAATATTTTAATACTTTTGATATTAAAAATTATGATATACTTTAATTAATATTACAAATTTAGCTAACTTGTATTTAAATATATGTGTGATTAATTATATTCTTGAGATTAGCATCGAATATTATGCATATTTTATCTATATTATCGTATTAGAGAATTTTAAAAACTATATGAAATTAAAAGAATTAAAAATATTTTCAAATCTTATAGCATTGATTTTATAAGTGTAATTAAAAATCAAATAAATTGTCATAAATCGTAATATTAAATTGAACCATATTATTATCGAAATTTCTTATTATAATAATGAAATTTTTTTCAATAATTAATACAGTGTTTTTAATTTTACAATAAATTTTACACAAACTAAATATTCTAAGGCTTAAAATTTACATAAATGGAGTATAAAAGAATTATATAAAAGGTAAATATTTTTAATCTATCGAAATATTTTGGAATTAAATTGTTAATAAATAATTTGTTTTTAATGAAAAATTATGTCAGATGAAATGCTGTAATTTGCATTTTATTAAAAGATTTTTAAAAGATAATAATCGGCTAAAGGATTAAAATTAATTAAGCCAATGAAATAATAGAATTAAATTCAATAATTATTGTAAACGATTGTATAATTATAAATATTGAAGTATTTCTATCTTTGTATATATAATAATTACATGTATCGTGGTGGTTTCAAATATCAATGTGCAAGCATTTAGACTTATGAGAAATAATGAAATCTACTCATATTTAAAAATTCATATACTCCACAGTATTGTACAGCACAAGTAATTTACATTATTTTACAGGTTTTATGTGTACAAAAAAGATATTTCATTGCTCGCATTACATTCACAAAATATCTGTATTACTATGACAAATAAGGTACCACTGCAGCACACACAAATATAATAATCAGTATATAATATAATAATTTACCATTACATATTATTTGACATTCTAAAGTACATTCATCCTGATATTTTAATATTATTTTTGATAAATATCATTATGTATTATATATTGACAAAGGAGACACAAATGAAAATCAATGTCACTCGATCTACTCGACCAATATGTACTTCAAATTTATTAATGATAACACTTTTGCGAGTAAAGATGTGTGAGCAAAAAATTGTTAAATATCAATATTATTATTAATGTAATATTTTTAAGTGAAATAATAAACTTTAAGAAGTTTATAAAATTCAAAATAAATAAGTATCTTTTAATAACAGCTAAAAGTTTTAAATTCTTTTGCTTCTAATAGAGTGCAATACGTATATATTTTTATTAAAAATTGTTATAGTTATCAATGATTATTTTTAACATTTATTTTGCAAATATATTTCTTTCAAAAATATAATGGATATTCATGAGAATTTCTATTAATCAAGAAATCTCAACTTAATAAAAAATATTCAATAAAAAATTTTTTAATAGGCATTAAGTACATTAGGATTTAATATTCTACAGACGATTATATGCTGTATATTTCATATGAGAAATTATCTGTCGCAGAATATAAATATCTCTAGTATTAATTAAGAATAAATAATATAATATTAAATATTAATAATAAAATAATAACGACTTCCCGTCGAGATATCCACGTAGGTAATCCTGTTTCTCTTTATAATCTTCTATGAGTCTTACCGATGCATCTCCTTCGAAACTTTATAAAACTTATCGAGATATATTTTTTCGATATCGTAATCATCTCGCTATCATACGTTGCAACATTAATACACTTCTTTTACATTTAACATGAATAATATCACAACAGATGTTTTTATAACACTGCATAGTACTAAAAAAAAAAACACGCTATTTAGTGTTTTTCGTCCTACTCATAACATTTTTTATGCCTAGAAGAAAAAATGTTTAACTATGTTTAAAGAAAATTATATTGTTAATTCAAGCCCTCTCACGTGCTATTTATTTTTATAATTAAGTTACAATGAATGAAAAATTATAAATAAAATTGCTTATTTATCATTTGTGAATAAGTCTTCATTAACATAATTGTAATAAACAACACTTTCTACATTTATTAATTATTGTATGTAATGTAATGCTGATAATAATAATAATAATAATAATAGTTAAAACTTCAGTTCCGTATTCTTTGAAAGCCTAGAAACATAAATAGTTGTAGTACAATTTAATATATTAAATTAATGAAATTTTATATATTTTTGTTTTAGATTTGAGATACTTATTTTACATTATTATTGATTATTGATGTTATTTTGGTTTTTTCGATCAAAAACATTAAGTATGTTTGGGTTGAATAAATTATAAAGTGAACGGCAGACAAAGCCATGAAGAGGCCGAGTACCGAGTTCGGGTATAATTGATCAACTGAGTTGTGGGTGGCGTCGTACCGTAACTTTAATAAAGGGCTAAGAAGATTAAATAATTTTTCCTGAATAGGCGCGAGTGAAGGATAAGTGTGAAAAAAGACATGAGGGATCGAAACTCTCCTATCCTACCGATTCTAGTTTATGAATGACTTTTTATAATAAGTCCGAATTGAATAAATTTTCATATGGTATTGGTCCATCGGTATACTCGGTATATTATGCCTCCATCTAGTCTATCCCATACTACTAAATATGTCAAAATATGTTGAACAGTGTGCAACGATACTTTAAAATGACGCGTAATGTAATGAATAATTGTTGATTGTAGCTTACTGGTAAATTGAAATTGACCGATTCCCTTTAAAATCTTATATAATATGGAGGCGAGATTTATCGAACTCCCCGAGACCATTCACAATATTTGCCAAAATAAAATAATATTCATTGTATAATAATAATAATTTTAAAAAATCAACGGTTTATTAATTCACGCATTATTAACACAAAGAATAATGTTATTCTGCTTTGATTAATTTACATGCCATATCATATCATAAATACGCATTAAGAGTTAGTGTAAAATAAATAATTATCATAGTAGAGTAGAAATAAGACAATTACAAAACAAACTGTAAATGAATCTCAAAGTTGAAGCTAGGAACAATGATGCTATTTATCAAAATAATATCTAAACGTATAGAGAACAAGTCAAGGTCGACGGCTCTGTCTTTTAACAAGATCCTTTAGTCGATTATCGCTAGGATGATCACTCAAGCTATTCGTTTCCTCTGGTGGTGGTTCCAAATATTTTTTCCTATAAACACCATGTGGATCATATTTGCTTGCAAGAATTTCAAATTTTTCCGGTTCAAACTCTCTGAAATTAAAAAGAAACATTGTGCTGTATCAATCATGTATTAAAATAATCTTGCTGTAATTCAGTCTCGTTTTCAAATACATTTAGTTTTTAACGACTCGCATTCAATTTTTTCGCGTCAATGAAACATATATTTTTCACTTATTTTATAATCCAATACCGTTAAACAATGCAGTCTAATAGTGCTTTTATAATGTTTGTTTAATTGGCTTCGTCATACACACTACCATACATACCACGAATAAATTAATGACTAATTAAAAAACTATTTTAATTCGTATAAAGCCGACACGTCAGGTTCACATAAAGTATTCGTAATAAATTAATTATCAATACATTTATAAAATAAATAAGTTGATTTATCGCAAGCTCATTCATACTTTAATTATCAAATATGTGAGCATTTAATGTCATAAGTAAAATATTTACTTAGATAGTCTGTTCTTCTTAATGCAAGTAATTCTTATAAATTACTGGCTGTATAAGCAAAACCTCGCTGTTACGATACTCTTTTTAAAAAATATCTGGTTATATGTAAATTAAATACTTTTCACACAATTTATAAGGCATTTACAAATAATTTAACTTTCACACAAGTCCAAAACTTAGGCATAAACTGCCTATATATAACCTGCACCAGTTAATTATTTAATGATAAATAGTCTTTAATTCATCGTCTATCGGATGAAATGATAAAAAAAAAGAAAAAGAAAAGAAACGAGAGACTTTAGTTTTAATCGCTGAATTTCAGACGGCGTCGATAAACGATTATCCTTATTATGTCTTGACAATTCACGAGTGCTTAGAATCACGCGTCATACGCCACTCCATTCCAATGATTCAAATGCGTGTCACGAAAGTGGTTCGTTCGCTCTCTAAACCCATACAAATGGACCGCATCATGTGGCAAGTATGTGATTAGCGTTCGCGATATACGTTCCGACTACTTCCTGAATCTAACTTTATTGCCGTTTGCTTTAGTTCGAGTACATCGCCTTTGTTTTCAATCCGCTATGATATTCTGTTTTTTCCGCGTTTGTATGAGCAAACTATGACTTTTCATTATCTGTTTATCAAGGTAATTAATAGAAATTACTTTTCTTCCACGTGTATTCATGAAAATTTATAATTCTCTACTGCAACGTACACTCTATAAATATACTTCTTTGCTTGTTCATTTATGATAATCCAAAGAAAGAATTTTTTCTTTGCTTTTAAGGTTTTTTGTCTTTTTTGTTTTTTTTTTTATTTTGCCTGTTATTTAAAGGAAAATTTAGTTCATCTTTCTTGAGCTTTCGGATATTGAGATCACGTAGGAAAGTAAAGAAAATATTTTTATTTAAAAACATCACTGGGGCAAGTTCTCGACTTAAATTTTAATAAATAAACTTTTAATGCTAATATTCGTTATGTAGCCGTTAAGGAAACAATCGATGCTATTTGGAAGGAAAAAACAACATTTTCTAAGATAAATGAAAGATCTCTTGAATAAGTTTATTTAATTATTGCCTCCCTTTCCAACCAGAGACATGAAAATATTGATTAATTAAACAATCACTTGTCCTCTCACCGATAACGTCAATTTAATTTCAATTTAATTTCAATTTAATTTCAAGCAATACCTACCTTAAGTAACGTATGACCTTTATAGCACCTTCCCTTTGGCTCTTGGTACACTTTGCGCACGCATCCTCCAAAGCTTCAGGAAGAGCGCCTGCAATAATAATAATTAATTAATATAAATTTGATGAAAGAATATTGATCCTGAGCTAAAGTGGATACCGATAGTCAACTGTCCCCGTCCATTCGTCAAGTCGATTTATCTTAAACGGTGCAAATAATCACCGAAAATAATACACAAAAGAGCGGAAGAAGCAATATCATATTGTTGTATCATTGCATAAACTTTCGTTTGATCGGTTTATCGCAACTGCATACGATGACGTTACGTGGGCGGATTTACTTGCCGCTTTCGAGGTTATAGCGGATCCGTAATGTATTTATTGCGTTACGGCCTGAACCCTCGAAAGAACGACAATGCAAGATGCTGACTGCAAGATTGCAGTCTTGTCCCCCTTTGAAGTAATAATATACATGACTAAAGAAGACTCGTAATTTCTGAGATCTACATGGGAATTATTTCCTTAGAAAATGATAAATGTGTAATACGCAGACTTTTGTCGCAATAAATATAGTGCTAGCGGATTTCATACGTCATTGATTCTAATCAATTTAATGTGGCAGTATTATATAAGAGCATTGGATGGTAGTCGCTTCGTTTATAATTGCTTACAATTAATAGGAAATACAATTAATAGGAATCGCCATTCTAAAAGTATTATTGCAGAAAAAGCATAACAATTATAGATTAAGTATTTTATAGTACTAATATAATAATATTAATAATAATAATAATAAAAAGAAGAAGAAGAAGAAGAAGAAGAAGAAGAAGAAGAAATATATTTATAATACGTAAAATAATGATTATATGAAAAGAATTCTGAATAAATCATTGATACAAAAATCCCATAAGATTAATATATCTATATTATTGACAAAAGAAAAACTCTGTACTGTAAAACTGTATTTATAATTTACTCGAGTTACTTGAAAATAAGAATGAGAAATAGGATATCTTTGACATATTTATGAATCCAACATACATATAAGCTTATGGTTATCGATTCAATTAAATTTCTTAACATAAACATAAAAATTTTATTTACATTTACAGTAGCACGTTTCAAATACATGTGCTTCAATTTTGTTATTTACGTAATTTTAAAAATATTTTAGTAATATTGAAAAGTAAAACACGCAGAATACGAGTATAATAAAAAAATACATATAGTTTATGTTTTTTATTCTTATCTAATTCTACTAAGACTTATATAAATATGCTTTTTTTTTGTTAAAAATTTTTATGCCCGTTAATATATTTTCAAGTATAATTATGTCATAATAATTCTTTTAACTTTGTGTCTTAATGGTTAATTTTTCAGCAAACGGAGATTTAGTAAATAGAGAAAACTAAATTACATATGTACTCGAAGAAACCGCAGTTGACTAAGAATACGTATAAAATGAAATTACATCTATCAAATAAATAACGTAACATTAATGTGGTATTTTTATATTTGAAACTAACCACTGTTTTCTGTGTATAAAGTAATTTAATTTCTATCGCAAGCAACAGTGAATTCTATCAATGAAAATAGTATTTCTAAATATGCATAATATTTTTATTAAAAAAAGAAAAAGAAAAAAACCAAAGAAAAATTATTTTAATTGTCTAGAATAAGTTTACTATGATAATATGCAAGATGTGTTGAAATAGAAAGTAAAAAAACAAAGGTGATTTACTACTATTATAATTATACGATAAAATTGCAATTAAATATAAAATTATCTTATAATTTCATTCGTTTTTTATGAAAAAAAAAATAGTTTTGCTAATTAAATATATTGTTCATCAACTAATAAAAACGATTCTATACAGTAATGATAATAGCAATATATAGATTTCGCTTGAATATTAGAGTTCATTTTAATTGAATTAAAAAAAAAAATATGTATATATATTTAAATATAAACAAGAAAAGTATTTAGAAAATTTTAGTAATTTTCTTTAAGAAAATTGAAAATACGTAATTGAAGATTACGACAATACCTTTTTGGGCCTTTTGTTTTTGTCTCGATAAATTGTAAATTCGTAATTGAGCTAATTTATAATAAAATGAAAAATGCTCAGAGTATTGAAATAAAATTTACAGCTTAAATTTGACACGTATATAGTGGCTACACCTTTATTATTTATATTTAGTGGAATATTGTGAAAAAGCATTGTGGAAAATAATTAATAAATTATCGTCTGCAATAAATCATCGTATTAGTACAATGTACTATTTGATCCGGGAGCAGGAAAAGTGATTAGTGTAGGATGTATGTAATTAAATAGTGATAGAATCAATCGAGTGATACAAATTTACCGATTTTTTTTCACTTGTTCATCTATGAAGGTAATGGCAATTTTGAATCAATTAATTTCTATAACTGGGCCATTAATTATCGCAGCGCTACAATTGCAATAACAATATGTTTTCTATTGAAAAGTATTTGACGCTTTGACGAACAAGAAATAATGACTAATGACAAGCATGAAAATAAAAATTTCAATTCTTTTTAATCTTGTCGTAATGTCTAAGAATATTACCAACGAAGCATTAAAATTTATTATCTTTCAGCATCGGCTTAAGTTAGAGTAAATCAAACACATTTTAGATACAGGTGGAATCATTTTAAGACAATCGATTGAATGTGAAAATGGAAAAATAGTCTATTAACTATGGTAGATAGTGTTTGGTCGTAGAAAATACAATTCAACTGTATGATGGAGCGGTACGTTACAGTTGAAGAAAAAAGAAGAAAGAAAAGAAAAAAGAACATGAAAAAACTCTCATGCTTATTAATTAAGGATTTTTATGAAAATATTTATTATGGTAATATAAATATTTGATAGATGAGCTGCTTATGTTTGGTATAAAAGTTCATTGTCGACTTCGTTTATCTCGTCGTCTCGACTGCTTTGCACTTTAGCAGGTTCAGTTAGCTTTGCTAAAAAGTTTTGCAAAACGAGCGCACGGCCATACAATCAATTCAAAATTCTTAAATTACGAGTAGCTGGGATTTATTGTTTTGAGAATTTTAAGCGCTTGGCTTAGAGGTCACCCGAGCGCGTTTAAGGTAAGACGGAGAGGAAATATTAAGGTTGACATTAAAGTTCACTAATAAAGGAGCACGCCAGTTGCTTGGCATTGGCCACGATGGGAGGCAGCTCAAGTTGAAAACAATCGTTAAAAGAAACCGATGACGATGAGGGGGAAGTGCTCGTAAGGGAATCCAGTCGGTCCTGTACCCGGCAGAACCGAGGATGAATAGTGTCATGGGAGCCAGTCCCGCTCGGTCAGGCGAATGATTATGAAAATAATCTAGTCGGGACTCACGTCTGAGCTCCCGCCCATCGGGTGGACAAGGACCCTTGGATACGAGGCAGTTGAAGTAGTGCTGGAGCAGCCTCTTACTGGCGAGTATCTCGTCGACGTTGACCTTGTCCCAGCGGGTGACGTAGCTGTGCGGCCTGAGCCAAAGGTGGCCGTCCGCGATGCTCTTGTCGTCTTTGTTGTCGAGGCAGCCGCCGAGTAGCCAGCAGAGCGCTAACCAGCACATACGCTTGTCCATCGCGCTCAATCGACGGTTCTCGAGTGGTGCGACGCGGCACCGACGACTGGGCAAAAAGTCGTGCGATTGTGCTTTTACGTGAGAAGTGACTCCTGCCACTACTCGGCGCGGCCACGCTTCGGCCTCTAAGCGCTTTCGCCTCTGTTTACATCCCGAGTCTCTCCTCGCTTTCACTGTTACTTACAGCTGGTTACGAGCGACACTCCGTTCGCTTCGCATCACAATTTCAAGAGTCCTTCTGAACACGAGGCTGAGATCCTTGCTTGCTAGAACTTGTTTAATCTCGGGGCTGCTCCCTGACAGTGTCCCGTTATTGTGGTTGCAAACTCATTCCCCGGAGCAATTAACCTTGAGCTTGAGTAGGAGACTCCGCGTTCGAACGAGCGAGTTCGCCGATGCGTTTTTATCTATTTATAAAATATACCGCTCGATGTAATTAATGGATTGTGCAATTTTTCCGCGTGTAATTCTACTCATTATCGCCCGTTATTCATATATAAAACGTCACGCCGTGTCAACGACATCATCGACGTACTTCTTCATAGTAAAGAGGAATTAAAGCTTTGTAATTTACGACTTTACCATTATGGATTCTGCAAATACTTCGCATGACCGATCATACGAACATACCATTAGTGCCTATTTATGACTTACTTAATTTTATAACTTCCGACACTTCGAAAAAGATGTGCAGAGCAATTTTAAATCATACGCGAATGGCTTTTAATGGGGAATAATTTCAGTCCAGGTTTTAAACCCATTTTTCCCGGCACACTTTAATAGAAATAATTGTATTAATAATTTACCGTAAAGGATGTGCCGAGGGCATAAGTACATTATTGAAAATCCAAAGTAATATTAAACCAAATTAATATAAGGGAAAATTGTAAGCCGAGCCAGAAAGATCATGATTTACAGGTGCGTTACGTAAATGCACATCCACAAAGATCAGATACTTGAAATTAAACAAAAACAAGAAATAAAAAATAAAACGAAACAAATGAAAACATTAGGAAACATAAGAACAAAAAGAATGCGAGAACAAAAAAAATTAAAGAATAATGCATGAATATATGAGCCACTAACCTAATTTCATTCCTACATCCTCTGGATACTAAGTCGGTATTACTCTAGAAATGGTACATACTCTACGTACCACAAATATCTCTCTCTCTCTCTCTCTCCTTCTCTCACTCTCTCTCCACTGCCTTACTTCTTGATACCGAGTTCTGCATTTCTCATCACGTGTACGGAATTCTTTTTCCCTAAAACGGTCCGCCTGAGCTTTTAAAGGAGTTTTGCTGTTAAAGCTCTCTTATACGTAGGTGAGTCGAGCGAATAGGCCGAAAATCGTGATGAAAATATTTTCTGTTCCATGTTGCGAGGTCCCTACGCAATACGTGCAATGCAGCTGTATTTGAAATTTTTCAACTTTCATTTTCAATTCGTCAAATCTGTTATTCGATATTAAGAGAAAAATATAGACGTATAATTGAAATGAAATACATCCGCGGAGATCGCATTATCTTATTGTTTCCGATGGTTTTATTGTTATTCGACTATTATAGAACGTGGCGTGAAAAAATACGCTGCAAATTATATCATAGATAAAAATTTATGATATAAATTATAATTACTAGCTTTTTTTCTTGAATTTTAGACATGAAAAATAAACTATAAATAATAAATAATTGACAAAATGTAGAAAAGTGATTGTCTATACGCATATATATATATATATATATACACATATAAATGTTAAATGATAAATGATAAAACAGAAAAATGAAAAACACTAAGCTTGGTCAGCACTCTCGACATCGTTAGCTTTCGGAAAATAACTGAATTACTTAGCTAGTACTTTTCCAAACAATTATCTACCATTTTTTAATATTATCTGTTAAAAGTGCATTAAAAATTGAATATTTTTATCAATTGCAAACATTACTCTTATTCGGTTTGTATTTTTTTATTTCAATGCGTTAGCATTGATCGATGGATATAATGAATCTTAATTTCCATTGTCAACTATTATTTAAAGAAAATAACCTACAATGCTTACTGAAAATTTGTTTTGATTAAAATCATTGACCATTTTTTTTTCTTTTTTCTTATAAATTAATAGCAAGAAATAAACATACTGCATCGATAAATCTGGAAAATTGTTGTCAAAAAAAAACAGAAGAAAAAAAATCATAACATATGATATTAACTTAAAACTAATGAAAATTATATAATAAACTCTATATTATATAACAATATTCCCTAATAATTTAAAAGTTTTCTATCTCTTGTTCTACGACGATATCTCAATATCTCCTCAATCTATAGTCAACATGTAATTTACTTTACCCATTTACTAAATGAGAAAATATTTCAGACGCTTTGCATCAGATTTGTCATTGGACAAGGAAAGTTTCTGCTATCGTACCAATCACCGATCGACGATTCTTGAAAAATCAAAGCAAAGCTCGCGTTCATGCGCCTCCAATATATCTCAGCTCCAAGATACAAATAATTGCGCGCTTGCGCAAGCCCTACCACGACGAGGAGGTTCGCGTTCGAGGCGCAAGCACGGCTCGAAGAATGAACAGGAAGCCCTTGTGCAAGGGTCATTGCGCGTAAGCCTCCCACGAATATCTTCAATGACGCTCTTTGCCGTCCGCTCGGAGCCCTCCTCTAATCCCCATCCCACCCCTTCGCAAACCTAAAAAAACATTAAGAAGCCAGTGGCTCGATGATACGTATTGTCGATAATTCCTACGGCAGCTCGAGCTCCTCGCTGCTACGCCATGTGCTACATATTCGCCACATATTCGTGTTCCGCTTGACGAAAGCCGCACTCGCGGGAGTACTCGGAACAAGAAACCCAGAGCCTCGGCCGCGAACTTGACCCGATTTCCAAGGCGCGATCCGCGCCCGCGAGACCCGAGCACGCGGATCGACTTCCCCCGCCCTCCTTTGGATGTCAATGCGTCGGAGTGCTCACGGAACCTGAGGGCCTGCGGGGGTCCGATTGGTGGTGGTGGTGGGAGTTTGGCAAGCGAACGAACGAGTGAAAACTCGTTCTGTTTATTTACACTTTCGCGGCGCCGTACGTTTTTCGAAATTTCGCAGAGACCAGTGCCGCAGCACTGGATTATGCTTTTAGCGACTCGTCAAGAGCTCTTTACTTTCACGATATTGCACGCAAAAATAATCAATTCTTCATTTATCTACGACATTGGGTGATTTTTTCGGTGCTGCTGTATTATCGATGTGCCGCTGGTTTTCAATAATTTCACTAGCACATAAATATGATTCTACGACATTTACGATAGAGCGCGTACGTCGAAAAATTAGTCATGCGGTTAATGAAATTTTATAAATTTTTTAGCAGCAATCTGACACTTTAGCCGCTTTTTCTCAACCGATTGCATCTATTTCTCATTTTCAATCTTTGTCTTTATAATAAGAAGAGAATGCGTAATTGAAGGCGCTGAGGGAATAAAAGTAGGGAGGAAAAGTTTGGGAAACCCCGAAGGATTAGATTGGGAACGTTTTTATGTTTGTTTGTTTGTTCTAGATTAAACGAGCAAGTGTTGAGTTGAATACACAAGTTTTACTTTAATAGATAAGTTAAATAATAAAACACTATAATATGCATGACATTAGCGTATCTATAAGAGATTAATTTAATTTCCCCGACTCCCGAATCGATGATGCGATCAAAGCGAATATTAAATGTATCTCTTGAACACGAATTGCATTGATAAGTATTCGATACTCATGACAATAATCGCGAGGATACTGCCACTAATGATTATGAACATCGCCGGGCTGAACTCGTGCATCTCAACGGGCAACGGCTGCGAGCGGAAGCTCTCCAGACAGTTTGGTTTTCTGTGATGGAAGATTCGAAACAATCGCTGACTTAAACCGCCTTGAATGATCCGACGTATTCTATGAGAAAGTAAATGTAGTTTTGATTAGGTTAGCACGACCTCGTTATTCGCAAGGAGGGAAACACGGATCAATATTTCGCGATCAATGTATTTAATTAATTATTTGCAGCTTATGAAGTCTTAAAGGACTATTCTCGATAACAAATTAATAAAATCGAACGTCTGTGCTTTATTCGCGTAAGCATTTAACGCGACTGAAAGGTAGTCCGAGATAATTTAGTGGCACAATGAGGAATTGGCATGTCAAACTGTGGCAGGTAATAAATTAATGTTTCGCCCATGTAAATTCCTCCTGACATTTGTGACTGTGTAACTATAATGAGTAACAAACGTCTTTAAATGCTGTAATTTAATGTGAGAAAAAAAGGAATTATTTTAAAGATATTCAGTATTGTAGTATCGGTAATATTACCTTAACAGCTAATTAAAGTACAAAAAATATCGATAAAATTAAGCGAACACACTCTTGCATGAGATATTCAACTTATTAACGCCGTATAAAAGATTATTACCATCGGTCAAGGAATCGTAGACTATGGACTCTAGTAGCTTGTACAATTATGGTGAAAAGTAATAATTAAATTCATTAGAGACATTATGTTAATTATATTCAAAGGTAAGAATAACGATGTTACAACATGTTTGATGATAATAATACAATGTTGGAGGTAAAATTGGCTTAATTAGCGATTCTTATAAAAAAAAAAAAAAAACTTATGCAAAACTTCAACTACGAACATTTACAATGTATACATAGAATGGTAATAAATAACCGATCGATTGATTATTATTAGTTATTTTTCATAACTATTCGATAATATCCCCAATTGATCAATGCGCATAAATTTAATATGTTAAATATTATATGTACACGTTACATTTCATGAAATTTACAGCTGCGCGTTACGTGCCTTTAAAGGGTAAATATCAATAAAACTCACCCATAAATGACCATTTTTTTAAAAGGCGAATGCCTGCTTGTGATTAAAGAGACATATTGCGGTGGTACAAGTTCGATCTCCGTTAATTCACAAATTTTCGATTGCTCGAAGGTATCCTAAAACACAGAATAATAAAGGATTTTAATTTTTTTTTTGCGTTGTTTTCTTTCTTTTTCTTTTCTTCTTATATATATATATATATATATATATATATATATATATATATACATTTATATACATCAAGCAAATCTATGTAAACACCAATTATCATGTAAATATTACCTCTATTATTCTATATGCAGTTTGACTGTCGATAAAGAAAGCATATCCACCTTTGCTTACTTCGTGAATACCTTCTTTTGCGGTAGACCATGCTTTTTCTCCGTTTGCTTTCAATTTCTTTTTCCAGAGATATAAGCTCGCAGAATCGTTGGTATTCTAATAATTATGATGATGTACTTTAGTATTATGAAATTAGTAATTTGATTATTAATGAATATGTGAAATATTAAGTTTTGAAGGTGCTGTCATTAGGTAGGCGTAGGTAATACAAATGGATTTACAATCATTTTCTAATGGCTTTATCAAAAAATATTATTCATATAATACTCTTAATGAATTTGTTATTAAAGTAAATTGATAGATGATCAATATTGCTAATGATATTTTTACCATTAACAAATTTTCAATAAATTTTTATTTATCTCGACGTTTGCGGTTAAATCTGTTAAATGATGAAAATACAATTGCCATTAAATAATGCTCGAATATTTGAAATACAAGCATTAAGATAAATAAATTTGTGTTTTAATTGTTTTTAATTTAAAAAATATCCCTTGTGTGTTACGAAAATATGTCAAATAAATTCACCTCGTTTGAACTCAAAAATAAATAACTTTAACATAGCGTTAGGAAAATTGAAGTTTTCCCGTTGGTTAATCGTAGCTCGCCACTAGTTTTTTACTTCTTTACGCCACTTGAAAAAGTAGAGGTAGATAAAAATTCAAGATGGGAAATTGTGTCGCGGAGAGCTTTGTGGTCGAGAGGGAGGGGGATTGGCTCGTTTGTATGCAAATTTGGAATCGACGTACGCGGAAAGAGTTAGCCCAATTCTTTTGCACAGGCAAAGCCGAGAAGGATAAGAAAGAAGTGATAGGTAGAAATGGACAGAGATAGGATTGGCATTGGTGGAGAAGAAATGGAAGATAATCGAATTGAAAAAGTGGAAAGGTGAGCGAGATCTGGAAAATCGAGTAAGTTGACCTACTCCGTATTTCCGTTTAATGCACCTTCACATTTTGTTCTTTAACCACGTATTTTTCTTCGGGTCCTCGGCTTGGTGCTATTACGCGTTATAATTTTATGATAAATTATCCGTGCATATTTACATTAATCATTTGATCTTCAACGATCAGTGGAGAAATTGAATTTTCACAACTAATATGCTCTCTTTTTTACCTACAACGTCCTCTTTGGGCGCATTTAATAGGGAACTTTTAAGCAAAATGCTAAAAGTTAAATGCAGAAACTTGCGAGAGAACACGCGCAAAAGCTTATTAACAAATAAGCACATTATGAATAAAAGTGCCCATAAGTGTACTTTGTGCCATTTAATAGAAAGTACAAGAGGTAAAGGATCCACACCATTAGCTCTATGTGCAATAGATTAAAAATACATATTTTATATATTTGTATTTGATAGTTGGCAAAGTCCGCTACTTTTCTTGCAATCTTCACATTTACTTATGTCTGCAAACTCAGTGCTATTTGTCATATAAATAATCAACAAACTTTGAAGTAATCCCGAGTATAAGGTGTATTTTCACATCCAACTTGCAAATCGCTATTTGCCAAATCTGCGAGGGTGTTAATAAATTTTGGAGATTCAGCGAGCAGTGAGCCAACTATGCTTGCTGAATAGAATTGATACATCAGCAGAGCCCAGACAAAGAGTGTAATAAAAACAATGCGTCCAGAATACATACGAGGTCCTTCGTTTAATCCTGCATTTAAAATTTTAAATAATTATTACGCTAGACAATTAAATCTTTAGGATAATAGGGGAGGAATTTTTAAATATACGTATTTTAAAGATTGTAAAATAACACGATTCTCCGAATAATAGATTAAAAAATAATAATAATAATAATAATAATAAAAATAAATAAGTAAATGAAACGAAATTAACATAACGAATTTGTTGCCTTATTTGCAAGTAAATATAATTTTTCTTAGTAATATTTAATTTAATATTAAACGTTTACTATTGTTAATGATATAAAACCTTGTTGTGATACTGCGGCAAATGTTATAAGCGCAGTTTCCGAAGTGGAATTAGAGTAATAGTCAGATTTTTTATTAGTATTGTAGTATCCTTCGACCTTAGCGGCTATAAACAATAAAATCCAGGAAAGTACACTGACGTTCAATGCCAGCCACCAGATATTCTGCTTAAATGGCTTTAAAAAGGGATTTCTAACTGCATTTTTTTTTGGATGTCGAAACATGAAATATAATCTAGATATGTGAAAATACATTGGCAAATATTTTATTGAATATTTAATGACCACTTAGTTTTCATATTTTTCAAAGCATAAATAATGAATTATCATTACTTTACAACATAAGCTTCGACGGTATATTCACAAACGTCGAGTCGTTCTTTTTTATATTGAAAAGGCGAGGCACTAATATCAACAATTCCATTTAGCATATCTCCAACTATCCCATTATAAGTTCCATTCACCTTATAGCCCCATGTTTCCGATCGCTTCAGATTTATCCTAATTCAAACGTTAAGGATTTATAATAAATTTATACATTATTTAATCAATTTATCAATGTCTATATATATATATATATATATATATATATATATATTCTTTTTAATACTAAACATTAATGATTTTTAAATTAAATAAAAATGAATCAAACAAAACATGAATAATAATAAATAATTTTAATTAAGAAGGAAATAAAAATTATAATAAATGAATAAAAAATTACTTGAAGTTGTACATATCTCGAAGTTGAAGAATGAGAGCATAATGATAACGCATCATTATATCAACATGGGAATTAATTAATGTACCTAGATACGTTTCCAAATCGGTTTCTGGCTCATTAATTAGCTAAAAATATCGTTCGTATTGTAAATTTTGTTCGACAATATAGGGAGGGGGTGTAAGAGTACAAAAAGCAAAAACAAAACAAAAAATAAAAATAAATAAATAAAGAAAAACGCATAAAATGCATACGACAACGGAAAAGTTCAACTGTAATCCATGAAAATCCTGACGTCTTTTGTATTTGTATTGTGCCAGATGGTTTACCAATGTATTATCATTCCAATAACCCATGTAAGTGACATTGAGTTTGCCTCCATGGCGATAGGAGTGATTGTATACGTCGTAAAGCGTGTAAGTAAGTTTGCGAGTTAGAACAAGGGTGAGCTCGGACTCAACCGTTAATGGCAATTTGTCCAGAATCGTGGTTGGAATTTCGGATGCCGTTGTAACGGTGAGCCAAAGGTAAGATTCATTGAACGGTAATCGAGCCGCTGCAAACTTTAATATGATTGCTTTGACAATTGCTCTCTGTATCGCGACTGCTAATACAAAATTGCTTCAACGTTATTTTCATTTTCGATTAATTTTCGCGAAATGGAATTACAATTTCAAGGAAAAGGTAAGGACACAAATTTATTCACATAGTGCATGGAAGTTTATGCATAATTTCTGTCAATAATATATTGAATTTATAAATTTTTATATTCCATTGTTGAGTAAAATTCTTGTTTAACAAGATAATCCAAGCATACCTGATCAAAAATAATGTGACTTCTAGGACAGTCCATATCATGAATTATGCCAAGCTTATAATAATTAACTTTAAGTATATTTCTCATACTCATATCCTCTTGAATTTCATGATACGTAATTCTTATGTTTGTTTTTATGCTTTGTCGATAATAATCCAAAATATCTAGATGGAGAAATAGAGCAAATTATACCTGCATATATAAATAATGCTTCAAACAATTTTGAAACTTCATTCACCTGTCTCGTTCCAGCAAGCGAACACAACGATTTGCTTCACATTTTTCTCAACAAAATATGCCTCGGTAAATGCCGGATCTATTTTCTCACTCACTACCGATGTAGCGAGCAAAATGACTGCAATAATTATAAACATGATATTATTTTTCTCTTAATGTACATTAGACTTTTAATTCTTTAATAGCATTATTCTTGAAGAAGATAGGAGTAAACTCGACTACGCTACCCAGTAATATAACTTGATTCATAGCAGTAATAAATGAATTCAAAGAAAATTGAATCATCGTCAACATTTTGTATTCCATTACTTTAAGCAGAGCTCGTTAAATTTTTATATTACTTGTTCGAACGCATAATTTTCCCCATCTACGATATGTATAGTACGCGAATTGGAACGCGTTCGTTAATTTGCTGTGTCGGATTACGGTTATCGGAAACACAGCAATCTATCATTCCATTACGTTTATCAGAGAAAGCGTCGGAAGAGTGAGAGAGAGAGAGAGAGAGAGAGAGAGAGAGAGAGAGAGACAGGTTGGTAGGTAGGACTAGAAAATCGAGGGAGCAAAGTAGTCGATGCAAATTATTATTGTCGATGCCATATATTGTTCCCGCACTCGAATACGCATATTTTGATTTCACGCAAATGCAAATTTCATATACTTTATAGATTTAATATTAAAAGTTAATCAGTAACAAATAAAATCAATAAAAAAAATTTAATAAATTCATTATATAATATATAAGAATTCATATGTGATATTATAATTAAAAAAATTTTTAATTTATCGATACGATCGTAATGAAGGTCATAATTTAAGCAGAAATTATTATTTCGTTAAGCAAAAAATATGATACTTTAAATTAATGAATTAACTCCTTGAGGATGATTGTATGAGTTACACAGGAGGTAAGGAGGTTGCCTATATCGCGCCATTTAATATCATGTTTGTAGCCTTGTATTTTTTGTATAGTCAATCACATTACAATGATCTATTAATATTGTAATGATTAATCTGGCAAACAATATTGGCGTTATTAATAATGCTACGTTTTTTTTCAACAAAAAACATATTTACACATATTATATAATATATCTTTTAATAATTTAATGGACTACTAAGAGATTATTAGAATGAATTCAAAATTTATATATTTACTACTTTAAGACATATATTTAATAATACATCAGACAGATATTGTTTTCTTAAATTATGAAAATTAATTCGAGTTTCGCATAATAAATATAAATTTCTTTTATATATTATGAAATGTAATATCCTTTGTAATTAAAATGTTTACGTACAATAGTACAGTACAATAGTTTAAATAGCATGCATATTATTAAAAATATCTGCGCGTCTTGAAAGAGAAGTTTTTGACTCTCATCTACAAACTCTACATTTATTTTTATAAAAGCTAAATAATTACTGCAATCCAATATATTACGTTGTCTTCTTATTTATTTATTTATTTTTTTTTGTTTAAATTGTATTTAATAAATATTAAAGTACTATAATCATCTTTCTAATTTGGCACCACCACCATTAATTTCCACTAAATAATTGATAATTTATAATGAAGAAATCCTAGTTTTTAAAAGGCTATTCATTTTTATTACCTTGTTGGTTAATATTACAATATATTCAGATAATGTAAAAAAAGCAAAGTTATATTATAGGAATTACAATAATTAATAGAGCTAATAACATTAATGATAACAGCAATACATGACCAATGACATTAGTATGGGACTAATGATTCTGGTCATTGGAGACGTGTACAATACCAATTATGACGACGATGACTAATCATTTCTTTATCTCCAATTTACTTCATTATTTTTAAAAATGCTTAAATTACATATTACAGGACAAATACATTTAAATATTGCATATTTACATTATAAATAATGCATTGTAGCCGAGAAGGTAAGAAATTAACGCAAATTCTCAGTCTAAATCCTACCCGTAAATAACCATTTTCTTAAATGGAGAATGTTTTGCTGCATCTAGTAATGTAATTTCTAGATAAAGCAATTTAATCTTTTTCAGATCATAAATTTCATTATCATGATATGTGTCCTATAATTATAAATATTTTTTCTTCATAAAGTACAGTTAAATTTGATATTTAATTATTGATCAATTCATTATCATATCTAATGATTAGTTAATTCATTTTAATTAATATAACAGTATGAGAAATTAAATTCACATTTTTAGCTAGATTTTTCAATTGAAATGTAAATTATTTTTTCAACGCGTATTCGGTCGAAAAATATTACAAATAATTTTTATTCTTTACAATATATTATGGGTATATTGTTTTTGTATAACTTTTAAATTGTCATTTGTAATGAGTATATTGTTATTTATTCCAAGTGGAAAGATGAAAAATCATTATACATGTCAAGGAATTCAACAAAATTCCTTATTGACAGAATTTTTATTTAATTATATTTATTCTAAAAAGTGTATTTCTATATTTTTACAAACTGTCATATTAGCTTGATAAAACGAATTAACCTTTTTGAATCTTCTTCGTTCTTTTTACTAGACTGGAGTAAGAAGCTCTCTTACTATATTTATTTAGTGATTTTTCGGTAATTTAAATCGCTTGCCATAGAATCGGTGCCTATTCATTGCAGAGAACATTAAGAAATTCAATGATTTCCAAAACTTTCGAGAAGGACTTTAAAAGTTATGATAAATCTTGGAAAGTCGTCCATTTAAAGAATCAACATCAGCAACCGCATAAATCTAATAAATAAGTGGCAGAATTTGGATGAAGAAAAGAATAAAAACAGCCTGAGTAAGTGTAACAAAAATCATCTCTGTAAAAACAATATATAGTTGAAACTATTATAAAAACAAGTATAAAGTTGTGAACGAATCATTATGATACTTCTCATAATGCTTAGCAATTTGAAACATTAATGCATAAATGCAGCTATTGTTATTAATAAATTTATATTGTTTTTATTTTGGCCACGAAAATTGATGATTAACATTGATAACTTACAACTTGAATTAAAGAATTTTTCCTCTTTGAATATCTAAAAATTAATTAAGCTACATATTTTACTTCGCATAATTTCGAATATTGATATTGTAAAATTATCCGATGTCTTATTTATATAAAAACTGCATATTAATTCTGACTTAAAAAACAATATATCAAATACTAATGTTTATCCAATGATTTCATTTCGATTATGTACACTTATTGTTTTCGGGGGATAATTAAATCTCCAAAATCGCTTTTATTAAAAATATTATTAAAAATGTATAATTTTAATATTATTTATTGCAAACAATTGGATTCTTTTTGAAAAAATGCAAAGATTTATTTTTCATAATTTCAATATGAATTGAAACAATATAAATTTTCAATTACAAATTATTTATTTACTTATTTATTTATTATATGTTTTATTTTTTATTGTTGTTTTATTGAGATCAGTTAATCCACTTATTGATTTATATATTTGAATGAAAAAAGTGAAATGAATAATTTTTTTTTATGTATATTATATCACTTTTTAATACGCTACATTATAATAAGGATTATATTTTCAATATAATATAACTTACTATGTCATTAAAAAAAAACGTGTATTATGAAATGCAAAAACTACACTTTGACTATCGTACATATAAGTATTAAATTAAGTATATAATATTTTTTACCGTCATTGGCAGGTTTTAATCCATCCCGTAAAAATTTCCATGTTGCATATAATTACACTGAATCATGTCAACCATTAAACCATTCTGAGTATTCCAAAACTTATGTACGTAATATTGAGCTTCTTACGTTTATGTCTGTAATACCGATTGCAGAAAATTATAGAGGCTGTGAGAATTTCATGTTATTTCACAGTTTTCGTTTTATCTCAACAAATATACTGAGCCTAAATGATTGTATTGCATATCTGTGTAATGCAAATGATTCCTTGTAAACTATAAAAAAAATTTATAAATTATACTGATACACAATGACGAAAGATTTTATAAACTATATAAATTATTTTATATGATATGGATTTTCGATAATTGCCAAGTAATTGGGTATTAGAAAAATGTTCATCATTAAAAATCCTTTATAACAGTATCTGTCGCGTAAATTGGAAAATATAAAATTTTCACATCCTGGTGCATTATTTTCTTGACTTTATTTTTTGAATATTTAATAAATTATTATATTTTCATTTAACATCCTATACGGTATTATACTGATTTTTAATTTTTAATTTTATTCTAACTAGGAAAATTGAACTATTACATATATATGATAGGCTAAAGGAATGTTAGAAATTTAAAAAGTTAGTATTTTACTCATAAAATGAAATCAATGAATTTATTTATTATTAGGAAATAATTATTATACAACGAATACATAAATACAAATTTCGTCTTAATTGACATGCTGTGAATAATTTTCTTTGCTATATATATATATATATATATCATTAAAGAATTCGGACATATATAGTTCCATAATCATTGACTGCCATATGAATTTGCCAATTTTGTAAATTAAAAGATTTTAAGATACAAAATCGAAGAATAATTTCTATTCGAAGCGAATATCCATGCAAATATCAATAAAGCAATATAGTAGTTTTCCTTATTCCTTTTTATAAAACATAATTTTTCTAAGTGTACTTACAATATGACCATCAATACAAGATATTATTATAATAATATAAAATATACTCCAATTTAATTTCATTGTATTTATCGTAATTTAATGATTAAAATTCGATACGCACTCTACTAAAATCATCTTTGATTTTCCAATAATTTAAAAATATGTATTATCTCACGTACGAGTTATCGTGGTAATAATATTATAGTGCTCTCACGTAGCACTTAATGTTTTTTCGTTCTCGTGATGTCTCTTCATATTTCATTTGCAATCTCCATCTCGTTTACATCTTATTCCTTAACAGCAAGTACATGTTTTATTTATTATCAAATTGTCTCTATAGCGCACTTTATAAAATAAATTACACATTTCTTGCTCTCACATTGGAAACGCTTGTGCATGAAAAATACAGGAAAAATCGTTTAATAAGAAGGTATTGAGTAGTTGCAATTACTAATAACTTATCACCAGCAATTGCTTCTCACTTCAATACGTATTCTTTTCATTCACTTGGCATTTACTTATGATAGTATACACCACAGCAAGACTCTATAATTCGTTTGATTAAAATTATTAAACATTTTCATTCGTAGAGCAATAATAGTTTAAATAATCTATATCTTAGTGAGGATAAAATAAGAAATAAAAGTTCTATTAGATCCCGATCAAATCCGGGGACTGCTTGCAATTAAACTAATATTCTAATTGCAACGAAGAAAACAATACTGACGGTTATTTTTTTACGTGCATTATTTTTTTAATAAGATTTTCTACAAGCAACAGACATATCGAGAAAAAATAAGCGGCTGTGATCATAATAAGGGCTGGACTGAAGTCTTGCAGATTCACAGGAATTGGAGTGGAATTGTGGCTCTCCGGGCAAACGGGTTTCTTTTCATACCAAATGGTGTTTAACCGTCGTGACATCCCATGCTCAATCGTTTGTCGCAATCTAAACAAATAAAATTCATGCGTTTTTTCAATTTTGTACACTCTGTTTGCATTAGTCGTGAATTTTTAATTTTTCACTAATTAATTATGCTTCCAGTACTTCTTTTAACTTAATGTGTACATAATCTTCCTTGCATTACACATAGACCACATAAAAAAAATTATTAGGAATTGATATTCAATACGCTGTATTTAATAGTTATATGATAAATATTTACATTAAAAAAAAAGAAAATGAAAAAAAAAATTTAAAACTACTAAAATCAATTATTTTTCCGAAATATTGTACAGAAATTAATTAATTTTTAGTATAAAAATTATTTAAGTCATGTAGCCTATATTACGAACTATGTATTTATTTAGAAGTCAATGTTAATCTAATTAAGCACTAAATTTCATTAATTAAACAAGCAGAAGTATAATTATTAAATATGAAAATTGATGTCGTATAATTCATATTTGGCAAAAAATGTTAAAATTCGCTAACTGAAAAATAATGAATCTTATGCAGATTAAATTTTTTATGATAATTATTACTTATTTATAAATCAATTATATCGTTAATTTAAATTATTGTTAATCATTTGTATTATTTATTTATGCTAAAATGCGTTTAATTTTCTTGTAAAAAATTCATTCCCCAATAATATACTTGATTCACTTTTATAATTAAGAAATTATTTCAATTTTATTAATACAATCTTCAATAATATATATGCTACACATACCCGTAAGTCATCATTTTTTTAAAAGGTGAATGTTTACTGGTACAAGTAGCTGTATGTTTAGGTGCAAATAGTTCGATCTCTTGTAAATCACATATTTCATCCTCATTGAAAGTATCCTGATAAAATTAAGTAATACATTAAGATTATTTAAATTGGCATTGAAAAAGGTTGCTAAATTTTACAATATAACGCTTAATAAATATTACAATAATGTATAAAAAAAAAAAAAAAATCTACATAGCACACCATCGTTTATATAAATGTTTTTCTAGCCATAGTTTTTGACTCTAAAGATTTTTTTTTAAAAAACATTAATTATTATTACTATCATTAATGCTGTTATTTATAATAATATAAAATAAAATTTTTCTTAACTAATTAATGTTCTTATTAAGGTGTTTTATCCACTATCTATACAGAAGGTTTGCACTTTATTATCGATCGACTTATGAATATGCATATATCTTTCATTTTTGCTTCGTAATGATTTTTATTGGAACTTTATAAAATTACTTTAAATTAATCATCATACGATGGAAGGATGCTCTATTAAACTGGTTGAAATAAGTTTTGAATTTTATTTACATTTTTATTGTCAAATTACGTTTATTGGTATATAAAACGAGACATAAAACATAAAGCTAGATAAAAAGTATTTTATTGCTAATGAATTAGAAAGTAATAATGTTACGAGTATTGCATAATTATGACAAAGTAATAATTATCGTGCCCATTTATGAGAGAGAAGAATAGAAGGGAGGATGAAGACAAAGAATATCAGATTTCAAGAAAAAATAATTCTAGGGCATGTATATTATGCTGACAGTGACCGAATAACCTTGGCTGTGAAGTTTAAAATTTTGCAGTCTTCCTTTTTATTCGACCATACCCCCTTCGCTATGAGTAAGACTTTCTTATTTTGCAAGGTTATTCGCTTATTTCTAAAACGAAGACGAACTTCTCCTAGATGCTTGGGCATTTATGCTTCATCTGCAACTGGTTATGTTAAGCATTGTTTTTGTAGGCTGTGACGAAATTTCATCAGAGCCAAAATTCATTTAATTAAATTCTCAAAATAAATTTATGATCATACTACAGGCAATAAGTAAAAGTTGTAATAAAATTTATTATATGCATGCATTAGGTGGGATTTAAAATTTTTAACACACTATAAATGTAAATTAAATTAATTAATAAGACTAATTTAGTTCAGCCTTAATATAATTATAGCATTAATGAATGATTTTGTATTAGAAGTTACATAATAAACGGTCATAAATAAATCGATACCTTGTCGATCTTTACCTTGAAAATTCAATAAATTCAATATTATGTAATGATAATAATTCTTTTGAAAAAAAGATCATAAATTAAGAAATTTCAGCTTTAAATAATTGCTAATGTATTATTTATATTTATAGAGATATATTTATACAGAGAGATACAGATGTAGACCAATGCGAAACATTTCACAAAGTGAAATGCTTTGCAAAAAAAAAAAAATAAATAACTCTTATACAATGGTAAAAGAAAATCATAGTAACTTAGTATGAAAAATTAGACTTTCCCGAGGCACTCTGGCAAAATAAGCATCTGAAATTTGAAATTGATAAAATGAACATAAGTTTAGTGACACGACTCACGGTAATAATTTTGTAGGCCGTTGCTAAATCCACTTGGAAGGCGAAATCACCTTTCTGAACTTTTCGAAGGCCTTCCTCTGCCGTGTAATAGGGAAATTTATTTCGCTTCTTGTTTAATGATATTTTACGCTCGAAAAGGTCAATGACGTTCTTATCCGATGTCGTCTGAAGAATAAATCGGGTTTAATTCATTTTAATTTTTTATTACAATACGCAACGTCTATTTTTATAGCTACAATATATATATATATATATATATATTTACGCGAAAGAAATCATGATTATATGACATATTTTCAATTCCCACTTCGAGGTGACTATCCGCGAGGTCCTTTATAGTTCTGATAAAACGAGGCTTTTCGGACAAAAGAGAGCCAACTATACTGGCAGAGTAAAACTGATAGAGAAGCATAGCCCAAAGGAATAAGGACGTATAAACAATTCGTCCGGAATTTATACGTGGAGTATCGCTTAGACCTACAAACGATTATTCTCATAAGTTTACATTATCTTCTTACTCGAGAAACTTTTCTTACATTACCCAATTACACACACGCGCGCGCGCGCGCGCACACACACACACACATATATATATATATAGATTTATATTTTTATATAAATCGTAATAGAACAATATTTTAAATAAGACGCTTCCAAGTATTTAAAAAGACATGCTACAGACTTAAAATCTTAATTCGACATTTTATCTATTTTCTTTTATAACAAATACTAATATCACTGAGGTAAAGTCGTAAAGCCGTATGTTTATTACTCGCACTTACATATATTAACTCGAGCTAGTAAATTATCGTTGTTGATATATTTATTCTCCTAATATAATCTAGATTTATACCATCTAGATCCAATGGAAATGACGCCAGTCATTCTCATATCATAAATTCATAATTTATTATATTATAATACGAAAGATAATTATAAAATTGAACGAAATTTCTTTTTTTGATAATATAAATGTAAATAAACCTTGTTGACAAATAGCGGCACTTGTAATAAGAAAAGTCTCGGACTCCGGTTGCGTAAGTAAAGTATTATTTGCAGCATTGCCAATGAAATGCTGTTCTACTTTAATGGTTATGTATAGAAGAATCCAGTTGAGTATTCCTATAATAATAGTTAAGCACCACACGTGCTTTGAGAAAGGCTCGAGAAAACTGTTGCTCAGCTGTTGTCGTTTTGGATGCCGGAAAATTATAGCTGCTCTAGCAACATTCAAAATATAAAATTATAAAAAATTAATTATAAAATAAATGCACGAAACGAAAGTATTTCTTCATATTGGTAGTGAGTAGCGTAGTTTGAAAGTACATTATTTTAATGAACTTTGACCAGGAAATTTCGATTAATTCGACTCGCGATGATCAATTGAAAAATCCTCGTGAACATTGTTTTTCGTTATCGTTTGTCCTAATGTGCCACGCATAAATCTTACTTAGCCATATAAGCTTGAACCGTATATTCCATGACATCTATTCTCTCAGGTTTGAATTGAAATGGCGTTGCACCAATATCTACAATGCCGTTTATCATATCGCCTACTATACCATTGAAACTGCCGTTAATGAGGTAACCCCATGTAGTTCCCCGTAGCAGGTTCAATCTGCAAGATCGTTTATGCTCATTAGGTTATAGTTTTGAGATCACCAATTATATCGACTTATTACAATAATCTCAATTTTAAAATATATATTTTGGGTTTTAAGAAGTAGCTTTATACGGTTTAACTTCTTTATTATAATGCCACGATTTATAATGGTAAATTAGTTCTAGTATTTTTCTTCTATTAATTACATAATAATGAAATTACGTGAAATTATAGTAGTCTCTTAGTTGTTGCGTCAAAGCATAATTATATCGGTGCATCGTATCAAGGTGTTTATTTATCGGCGTTGTTAAATATGTCATTAGATCGACTGTATTTGGAAGAAAATCTACCTGTAAAAAAATTCTATGTAAATTAGCTCGCGTTGCGTTTGCCTTTTTTAATAATAAGCATTATTCAAACGAGGACATTTTATTATCGACTTATTTTGAGGTATAACCGTTAAAAATAATATTGTCCAGAATAAATGGTATGTAACACCTTTTACATGTGTATGTGGAAGAGAGAGAGAGAGAGAGAAAGAGAGAGAGATGGTTTTAGAAGGCTGAAAAAGGAATAGTGTGGAAACGAACAAATGCGATGTACTATAGATGTAGATTATTCTTGAAAGTAACTAAAAGGAAAACGATAGATACACGAAAGCAGATATTTTTTAATTATATACAATCCGTGGCTTAATCAATCTATGGCATCTTCATCGATGATTAATAAAAAATGATATAACAGATCGAATGAATCTTGTAGCGTAAGTTATTGATCACATTTATTGATTTCGTTATTATCATTATTGAAAATTCAATATAAGCAAATAAAATTATTTATTTTAGCAAATAAAACTCTTTATGTGTAATAAAATTATGTGTACGTACATATATATATATATATATATACATATTTATTAAATTAATTAAAAAAGTAATAAAAAAAATATTTATTAAATTACTCGAGCAATTGATAAATAAATAATTATATTTCTATGCGACACTGAATTAAATAAACATTCGTCGGAAGTATTAACTTATGTACTTCTCATTTGCGTAATAATTGTTGAACACAAGTCAGTTTATACGAATCACTCATTTGAATCCAATAATTTAGCAATCAATACGTATTGTATGTATCAATTAACCAAACATTTTTTATCGTTATTATGAATTTCGTATGTACATAAATGATTATTCTATAATGCATCTTGAGTAATTAAACTACGTAATTCTTGATCTCCTCTTTATCATTTATAGTATAAAAAAAAAGTGTAATTAATAAGTTGTTAATGGAAAATTGTCATTTTTTTTCGTACAACAATTCGTAAAATAAAATCATGATAATATAAGATGAAGAAACAAAATCAAATAGAAATATTAATTTTATCAAGTAATCGTTATGTAATTAAAAAATATTTAAACTCTTAATATGCATAATATTGTAAGGATAACTTGTCATTAAAAGACTTGAAATAATACAATTTATTGTCAAAAAAAATTTAAAATCGAAAATGTAAATCATCGATATAATTGAATAATTACTATTTAATGAAATGTACATTAATTTTATGTCTCGCAGGTGTCTAATTCCACATTATAATTACTAATACAACTCGAATAAAGAATTTCATAAGAATTGGAAATTCAATCGCGAAAATGGAAAGTCGAGTTTAATTAATAGCCAATAAAAATTAGGTATTACTTTTCACATTTCTTCATTTTTACGCAACGTTAAATATTTCCTGAATATATTTTTCCCATATTTGTCGGTAATTTTTCCGTAATTAAAAATATTTTCGTGATTTCAATTTCCATTATGAAATGATACATGGTCTAAGTAATTTCATTTATTTAATTGTTCATAGATTGAATAATTATTTTTACTTTTAAAATGCGAAAATCAATAAAAATTTCAATACACATTAATAAATTAAAAGATTAACAATTTTTTTTGTTTTTTTATTTTTTTTTTATCATAATTGCATATTTTCAAAGTTCTTCCTTGCTAATGAATAAAATATTTTAACTCGCAGAGAATGATTTAGTATAGATCGATCAAATTTATTTCAACAATCTGATCTTAATACTTTATTGAAAAATTATAAATGTTAATATTTTTTTAGAAGTCACGTGAAGTATATATTTAATCGCGCTTCGAGTATGATCATTTTTTTTTTTTATTTTATCACAATGAAACACTTTTCCTCTGGTTGCCTGTTGTATAAAACTAATTAATCATATAAGAACTAATAAACATTCGATCATCAATAAAATTTTACCTATGCAACTTAATGCAAATGTTGATATTCTAGCTTATAAAAGACTACCGGTATATCAAAATAAGCGGAACTAACTCGTCAAATGAGTCTATCCGAAATTATTTTTAAGAATGCGTTTAGTCGAGCCTACTCTCAAGCCGACAATAAGCAACTAAATAAGCTTGGCAATGGTACCGTGTGCCTTCAATGTACTTGCCACGATAGAGAAATTCAAGTTCATTCCTCGCAGGTCACCACGCCTTTTGTACTTGTATTGGGTCAACTGGTTCCTCAAACCACCACGCGGGTCCCAATAACCCATTTTCGTGATATTCAAGCTCCCGCCGTGCCTGTAGCTCGGGTTGTAAACGTCATAGAGATCGTAGCGACGACTGTCACGACCACGTCCGCGTATCGCCACCGTGACTTCGGCGTTTATGCTTAGTGGCAGTTGGTCAAGTAAGTCCAAGGGCAACTGTTCATTGCTACGATCGGCCATCTTCAACAGCCAGAAGTACGATTCGTTGAAGGGCAGCCGGTCGCCGATGAACTGCGCAGCACCGTAGTACCAACGGACACCCAGTGGATTTTGAAATAGCAACGTTTGAAGGTTACTTTTTATCAAGCTCGTGTGAAGCATGACAGCTCGTGCAGCGGCCATCAATTTGCCAAGGAGGGAAGGTTAAATTTTAACTTTAATGCCCAATATTATCGATCGTCGTCAATTGTAGCAATGCCATTTCACGACTTTGCATCTAATTATGAGCGTGCGCATTGACATTGCATTATCGATATAAATGTTATTTCAAAGCTTCGAATGAACATTCTCTCTTATCGTAAGAGTAATAACAATCTTCTTAGTGAATTTAATCATTTACACGCAAGGAATTATAATGGCACGATATTTCCTTGTATTATATAATATTTATCGTTAAAGACATTACAGTAATGCATTGATAATATTTCACAAGAATTAGATATTTGATAATAATTTTAAGAAAGTAAATTTTACCTTATATAGGATAATTTCACTTTTTGGACAGTCCAAATCCAGCAATATACCAAGTTTATAGTAATTGACTTTTAAGATCTCAGTCATGGCTAAACCATCCGAAATTGGTATTAGTGCGAGCCTTGTATCCAACGATGCCATTTTATGAAAAACTTCCACTTTGTCTACATCAATCGCAAACATATTAAATGGAAAAGTGAAATAATATTATTAAGCTTTCTGCAATTTGAATTATAATTGTTAATATAAATGTAAAAATACATGTTTGGCGCTATAATAATTTTACATGAATTTTGCATATCTATACATTACATTTTTAATAATAACTTGAATTTATTATATTTGTCGCATAAGCTTATTCATCCAGGATTTTATGATAATTATAATTTGGTTAATAAAAAGAACTCGCATTAAATCCAGAAGAAAAAAAGTAAAAAAAAAAAATATATATATACATAATAAAAATTAAAGCAAACAATTGTTAAAAAAAAATTGCTAAAAATTGGCTTAAACATTTTAATATTAGATAGCTCATTTAAATTGTATGTAATTAAAAATTCGAATATTCAGTAAAAGAAGCAAACAACCATTCGTTCCCATTCGCTATTTTTCACGTCATCAAGTATTCATTCTCTTTATTATTTTTCATTTTTCTAAAAATTTTAATTTGTTATTTATAAGTTGGAAAAATTATCTCAAGTTTTTAAATAATTAAATATTAAAAAAGAAGATGTAATTCATAATTTGTTCGGATTAAATTAGAAAAAATACTGTATTCAAACAGTATATAAATATAATTAAAATATTTACAATTCTATTGAAATGCACTTATAACAGACAATATTCGAAAAAGCTTAGGAGCTAAAAAGACTAATTATTCAGATATTTTTGTTGCTGTATTGGCTAAATGTATGCATAAAATCAATTTATTTTTGGGAATACAAACGAATTCAACATATGTAAATAAATTTTTCCATGTTTTTAGAAACTTTCTTTTAATCTTTATAATTGATGTAATAATGAAAATAATTAATTTTAATGTACAATCGCTCGTATTTATTGTTGATTTAACTTACACTATTAACATTGAAATTGAAAGGAGCATTAGAAGCTTTTGCGTCGAAATGATTTTAAAAGACGTGAAATGAAAACAATCGGATAACAATTGGGCTGATATAATCAAGAGCTTTCGAGAAATTAAAGAGCCTTAAATTACCAAGGTAGGTTAGCTTAAGCACGTGTAAAGCGATGTAAATAGAAGCTGAAAAGCAGGTAAACGAGTCTTTCCTAACTCCGCGTATAATTAAATATAGTTCTGGTAGTTATAGAGTCAAGAAGTGGCGAATTTCTCTTCGTTAACAAGACTCGTGCGAAACCTTGTTTGCTTAAATTTACCTCATTGTTCGATACTAATAATAAAAAAGAAAAAAATTGTAAAAATCCAAAGTGTGTTTTGATCGGCTATTATCTGTTATATTGAATACGGATGGAAATTGAATTGAAAGAAAGTGGCACTTCTAATAAATGATATATTATTGAGAAAAAATAAAAGAAAGGAAGATCTGAATTAAGTTGTTAATAAAGCGCCGGTGACGATTCCACATCGATTGTATTTATTATAATGCAACTTGACATTAGGTATGACCTATTCCACGATAGATATATTTATAATCGCTATATTCAATCGAGGCTTTTATAAAATCAACAAGATATCCGAAATGTTTAGCTACGAATTATATCTATTGATAAGCAGGTTAGAAATATTATTATTTTGTCAAATCTTAAAATTGATTGTCACATACGTCTATCACTCTCCGCCGCTCTTGATAAAAAGCGCGAAGGAATCGTGGAGTAAGAAGCGTGGAGCAAATCGGCGCCTTTTCGATGAAAAAGATTTTGCATAATAGATTCAATTCCGGCTGATTGGAATGCAATTTGGAAGTTTAGTGACCTTAAAAAATTTAGGACGTTCAAATCGTACAAGTCATCGCTCGGAAGTTAGTCATTATCTTGTTGTTGGTCTTTGCTTTAATTCAACGATTATAGATCGACCATCCCGAAGAATTTTAGGAGACAGTGGTTGATGAAGAATGCTATATCGCTGCACCAATCGTGTTGCACAACGGCATTTTCTATTCCTCTTTAGTCCGACTGGTAGTACGTTCGAAGGCTACTAATCATGTTTAGCTGAGAATGTATTTTCTTATGCACGCGGATAAGCAGATGAATTCATTTTCCTGCTTCATTTCAAGGATACCAATAATATAAAATAATAAGCGGGAGTCTGCCATGGTTGTTCTCTGACAGAAATACAAAACCGGTACAAATCTTATTCAGCATTTATTTTTACGCGAGAGTGTAACTGTTAATACTGATGTAGTCGTCGCATCAGCGCTTAGTCTATATTTAATTTTATAGAGGAAATCAAAAGTATTAGTTTAGCCAGGTATTGGTTTACGTGTTGGTGGATTTGGTGCGTATTAATGATCTTGAACACGTTTTTTTATATATTCTAAATAATAGAATAGTTTCCCAATTCTCGATATGCGAGAAACAATATATCTTAAAAATTTAAAGCTCCCAATAAAATTCTAAAAATAAGCATAGTTATTGTCGCAATCATGTTTCGCAATAAATATCCTACAAAAATATACTATCGCTATTTGTTCGATAGTTCACTAATTAAGCTACTTCGAAAATTTTTCGAAATGAAAATGTTTATGCTTTCTGTAGCCATTCTGAAATCTACTTGTAAAATATCCATGTTTTCGTCAATTTACATTGAGTCTACAATCCTAATAAGAATTATATTACATTTAATATTACAGTCATGAGAATTAGGAAGTTAAAAATATTATTAAATCATTATTTTATTATTAAATGTTTATCGATACAACTATAAGTACTAAGCGAATTAGAAAATCTTTTTGATAATGGATTTCGAATCTGAACTTATAAGAAGAATATCAATATTATTACAATCAAATTAATAAATACCGAAATATATTTTTCGCATCTACTTAATTATAATGTTTTTTTGCAGAGTAATTTTTATAACATATTAGGCTTTCTCATTTTTTCATAAAATAATCATACCGTAAGGATTCCAGCACCCAAAGGCAGCAATTTGTCGAATACCTCGCTCTTCAAAATAGTTACGCGCAAATCTGACGTCGATTTCGTCAGCTTTAATAATTTCTAGCACCAAGGCAAGGATCAGATAAAAAGATTTTATCATTGTATCAAATTTTTTTTTAACAATGACACTTTATTGTTATATATGTCCTATTGACATTAATATTTCAATTGAAACATGGTAAATGTAATCAAAAGTAATAACGTTTTTAAAAGTATGATTATTTTATTTTCTGTTTCAGCTGTTTTGTAATTTTTCAATTCACTGCATTTAAAGATTATATTATAAAATCTTATCCTTTCTTCACGATAAATTGAAAAAAATTAATTAGGTAAAAATCTTATTATTGAAGGATTTGATAATACTTTCATGATACTGTATATAAGAATATTTTTAGATAACAACGATATTTATGCTAAATTCCTGTTTATAATATAATATTTATTACAAACTAAAGTTAAAATGACAACAAAGTTTATTTAATTTACTCGAATTGTTTAAAAATTAAATAGATTTCTAATTTAAAGAAAAATTTTTTTAAAAACACCTTAATAGATAAAAACACCTCACTGATAATAGATAGATATTATATAAGAACATTAAAATTGAATTATAAAATTAAATTTGCAATTTTAAAAATAAAAATATGGTTTAAAGTATATATTTTCATTTACTAAAGCTAAGTATTTAATTAACAGTTAAATTATTATTACAATAATTTTAAAGAAATATCTAATGATTTTGCAGAACTTCGTGCATTGAATTTAAAATCATGCGAATAATTTACAATTAAAATGATTTATTGTTAATGTAAAGCATCATTAATTATACATTAATTTTTGTCAAAGATATTATCAACCGTTGGGATCACTCAAATATCGAAATAAATCATAAAATTCAAAGAAAAATTTATTTCTGCAGAATTTCAGTGTTAGTTTTTTAACATAAATGTAAATCTACTTGATTTAATAACAATTTTTTGATTTTTCTCACAAATGTGTGAAACTATATATATATATATATATACATATATATATATATATAAATATATCAATATCAACAACGAGTAACTTTTACTAAATTCTTGGGAAATGTAATTTAAAGTATTGAATTATTTCAGAGCGCCAAGGTACAACGTAAAACAGAATCGGCACTGACAGTTTTGTCATATCATACCGTCGATGATAATCAATAGATTTGCATATTGCAGAATCAAAAGTAAAGCGACACTGAGAAATTATAGACAATAGCATAGTCATTACCTAGAAATGTTGGGTATTCACATTCCCTTAACAAATATGAAAAGGCTGTATTTATTTATGTGCGTACACATAGATCTGTATTAGACTTGCTTCTCTTTAAATTTTTATAATTTACTCATGCTTTTCAGGGTTTGCAGGTAGCATTGTGTCATTCAACGTACCAAATAACTTATTTCCTACTATTTACTATAATTATTTCATTAATAAATAACGAATGATTAGAAAAAAATGTATTTGAACTATCTATATAGTCTCAAATTAATTTTATTCGTTAATTAACTTTCTAAATGTGACATTTTAAAAGTAAAATCATAATTAATTGTTAAATGTATAATTTTAACGAGTTTATTCTCTCAATACATTACAATTATCATTGAATGTGTTATGAATTATTAATTAAAGTAACTATTATAGTAGATATACATTAACAAGTACATGTCATATTCAATCTCAATAATTAGTAAGATTAATTATGAAAAAATCTAAAAATAATTTATCCCATATATACAACTAATTTGAAATTAATTTTTTTTATTTGTATGTGAATATTTTTAATTTTGGCTAAAAAATTTTTAAATAATTTTTTTCAATATTATTTTACAATAGTTATTCGTCAAATATTACAGCTTGTTATAGATTTCTATTAATTCCCAAAATACAATCAATATTTAATATGCAACAACAAAAGCATTTTCATTATCGAGAAACGAAAAAAATAATTTCAGCTTTCATTTAGTATTGTAATTTGTTCGATAAATGATAATTTATAAATATTATAATTCCGTGATAATTCATTTTATCAACATAGTCAAAGAAAATGAGTAAAAAATATTTAACATTTTTGCAAATACTATAACTGAATTTAACGTTTAAGAATTAAAACAATTTATACTGATATTATGTGGAATATTTCATTTACTGTATTTACTTTGAATTTATACATTCATTGTATTTTTTTTTATTTTAAATAAAAATTAAGATATTTTCAACAGTTTAAACACTTTATCGGTTTATCGCTAGCAAACCTAAAAATGTGTATTTGAATGTTTATGTATGCGAGTAAACGGATTTTGTAAATTTCAAGTACTCACTACTAAGTTATAAATATATTACAATATATTTTAAATAATAATGATAAAAATAATTATTAATATCAAGAATATTAAACATAATTTACATCTAGAAATTAATTTTAAGTGTACTACTTAAGCGAATAATTTAATTAAACATTTTTGCACTAATTAATTACTTTTGTTTTATGTAAAAACAAATTGCATATCATTTATTGTATTTAGTTATAAAGTATGTAGTATGTAGTATAAAGTTAAACAAAAACAAAAAAATAATATAATTCGTATAATTTAATTCACACGTTACCTCAAGTCTTTGTACAACTATTTATAAATTTAATGGAAATGCTTATATTTTTATGTGACACCTGCACGGTTGTGCAAATCCATAATATGCAATTGAAACAAAATTTACATTATCAGCAAAGCGTTAAAGTGTACGGGATTAAATTTTTTGTTTAATTAAGGATCGAAAAAATAATAATTTACTACACTTACATAATGATACTTAAATATATAATGATAATATTTATTGCGATGCTACCTACTATATTATTCGAATGATAATATTTTTTAATATAAATTTTAACTTTTATAAATATTTAATATAAATCGAAATATTTGAAAATGAATATTAACTCTTTATAACTACTACTGCTGTTTTAAAAATGTTTATTTCGTCATATGCAAATGTTAAAATAATAACAATGATAAATTATTTAGATATTCTTAACATCAAAACTTGAACATTATTATAATTAAGTACTTGACATTGAATAAGTATTTTATTAATAAAATCTAATCATGTATATATAATTTTGTGATAATACTTTAAATGGAAGTTCAAAACAACATCAAAAAACAACAGTTCAAAAAAACTTTAAAAACATTAATTTAATATAATAAAAACACTTAAACAGTAATGATTGAATCATTATTCAAAAAATTAGTTTATATAAGTTAAGAAAATATGAATTAATATAATTTCGAACAATTTTAACCAAATTCCATCTTATTCTATTATTTTTCTATCTATTTTTTTTTTATTTTATAAAGTTATTTTTTAATGTTTTTTTTTTTTAGTAAAAACAGCAATATATAAGTAAATGCTTTTATTCAAAGTTAATATATAAAAATGAAATGTATTATAAATGAAAAAGAGTATAAAAATGACAGATTATGTTTTTTTTTAATATCTGATTTTCCTTATTTATTATAAATGTACATAATTTGATTTTTTTATATAAAACTGACAAGAAGTTTATAAAACAGTGTTTGTACATGTTATACAATATATTATAATATATTCTTATTTCATCTCAAAAGAACGTTGTATAAAATACTTGTTTTTTTTTTCATATTTTCAAGCCCTTTTTCTTAGCATCTTGAATGGTCTTTTCAATCAAGATATTCCAATCCTGCGACTTATTATCAACATACCAGCTGACGATTTTCTCGAACATTTCTAATTGTTTTTTAGTACAATATTTACAAGCAGTAATAATTGCTTCGGGTGCCTTGTCTGAAAAAATAAAGAATCCTTTAAAAATAATTTTCATTTTATTCCACAATCCCAAAGGAATGCTTATATCCTAATTGCTTTATCATTCGGCCCCCTCTCCCCTCCACCGTCAAACTTTAAATCAAATTTAGAAATTTCAGAAAGCCTAACGAGCTTTATATATTTGATCTCCCTCCTCACGTACTACCACGAATTTAATGGAATCCTTTTAAATATTTTTTAGATAAAGTGTTTCAATGCATAATAGTCGGAATTTTGTTTTCCACTACCACTTAATAAGTTGATGAATATAAATGAGACACAATAATAGCATCTGTTTACTCACTCTTGAAAAAATGAGCTGCTGCGGTATGACAGGGTCCTGTGTCCATGAAGCACGCATAGTATCGGTCTCGCTCGGCGTCGTCCTTCAGGATCACGTCAACGTCGAGGTCATCGTACGCATCTGAGTATTTTTTGTCCTCGTCGGCAGCGTCAATCGTCGACATTACGACGAGGAGGGCGGCAACCGCAAAGACCAGAAACCTCATCGAGGGTACGAGCTTCTTCGACATGGTCCACACGAAATTCGCGTGCCTTTCACTCCTTCCTGTTCGTTCGTCTCAATCGGCAAGATTGACAGGAACGTGATCAGGAGTGGCGCGAGGACGATTTGAACGTGTTGATCGGAGGATGGTTGCATATATAGACTGAGAAGTCGATTGAGTGCTGTCGGTCACGGCGATTCACAGGCTTAATGATCTACTTTGACTCGCACGTCCAGCTAAAAGTGTGAAATTTGATGATTCGATCGAAACAAAAAGTGCAATATGAATTTCACAAGTCGTAGAAGAGCAAGTCAGCGTTGTATACACTTTGGTCTTACGATGACGGGGTCGCCCGCTGTAAGTTGTTTATATGTTTTTTCAGCTGAACTGTAATAAAACACTTATCAGGGAAAATTTCTTTAGCTCAAATACGCAAGCTTACGTACGAGGCAAATGTGAGCGCTATGTGTATAAAGTTTTAAAAGGCATATATTTATTAAAAAAAAAATGTGTAATTGACTTGTAAAATTCCGTATATTCAATTGATTTTTTCATAATGGGTTGCTAAATATTAGAATATGAAACAGGGACCTTAAAAAATTTTATTACTACAAAATGCATAATATTTCCAATCTCTTACGTAATCTGAATCATATTGTTTTATTTTTCTGTGTCTTTATTAAAGTAAACTAAGAGTGATTTTCAAATAAGCATGAGATGATTTTTATTGATTATAAGACATTCATAGTTTTTATAAAGTAGGTAAGTAAATTGAATCTTTATATCGACTGGATATGAATCAGTACCTATAATTATTTCGCAAATATAAAAAATCTTTTAAAAATGCAGTATAGAAATGTGAAGAGAATGAGAGAGAGAGAGAGAGAGAGAATCAATGTTAATTATTCTCTATGAATTTCGAAGTAATATACAGATTAATATTATGACTCGATTGTGAAGGATTAGAATTAAATTAAAAAGACTTCATTTAAACATATATTTACAACTTCATATTAGCATTTCCTAGAGAATTATGATAATTAAAATCGTGAATACTCCTATTAATAATGAATTATCAGATATATAATATAAATGCTGTATATGTTTTATAATGTACAAGTGCCTACTTGATTTCAAAGCTATATTTACCTTCTGTTGTGAAATGTTAGAAGCAAATACGTGAATATAATAGGCACACACGCTAAAACTATTTATTCAAATACACTCACAGTAAAAAATACTGAATTTTCACATCTCGACTATTGACACAATAATATTCAATAAAATATGAAATTATTACACCATATTGTTTGAAAACAATTGTAAAGGTATTTTATTGGAAAAGTTTTTATTTATATTTTATTTATATTATATTATAAAACTAAATTAATAAATCTAATGTAGGAATACATTAAGGAACACACTATTTGACAATATTACGAAAAGCCGAATGTTGATTAACTAGACATATAGTATTTCATAAGAGAACTTGAAAAATAATTTATCTAACCTTTATTAATTCAAGAAAATTAATTAATTTGATATTTTCAAAGTACTTTCTAACACATTTCTTTCAATGAAGAGGAGGCGTATTCGCCATAAATCCATATTATGGAAAATAATAATACTTAAATTGAATATAAAGAAAAATGTGATTGATTTTATAATATTATTTTATAATTACAAGAAACTTTATGTCATAATTACAAAAAAATAGTATGTACTTAAAAACTAGTTTTTGGCATATTGAAATATAAATTATTTAATATGCACGTCGTATATTATGTTTTAACGACCTTTTGTCTTTGTGCAAAAAGTTTCATTATAATTATGAATCTTGAAGGCTTTATTTATGCATTTTGTAGTAAATTTTTGTTAAACTTAATATAGTTTTTTAACTTTCATTTGATCTTTATAATTGTTTATTTATATTTCATTTAAATATAGTTCTAAGTATGGCGCGACAATCTTGATTAAATTATAACAATATTTATTTTGTCATTTTTTATTAAAAATTATTCATTTAAAATGTGCTTAAGCTGATTGGAATTACAATTTAACATATTAAGCATTCCATAGATTATTTAGATCACATTGAATAAACTGAATTACTGCTAAACTATATTAAGTCTAACAAAAATTTACTGGAGGTCTTTCTCCGAGATTCTGGAGTACAGAATTATTTATTACTAAAGATATTTACTATTCGTCTTTATCTATAAATAGCAACTAGACTAGCTTCAACATAATGTTGTATCCTATGCATTTAAGAAATTATACAAATTTCGTATTTATTATTTAGTCAATATTCAACGTGTAATTTATCATTGATTCGATAATACATTCATGTGCACATTATGATTGTATACATAACAGAATGGATGTGCATTCATATACAAAATCGTAAATGAAATATAAAAGAAAAGTAAATTTTTTTATTACATTAGTTTGGATATGGAATTAATTAAGATATAGGTAGTTGGCAAATGATAAACAATCTAATCGACATCACATGCGCGTAAGCAATAATATTTCTTATTTCCGATAGAATATGACAATAAGCATTAAATTCGTTGTATGCTTATATAAGAATAAGAATATCAAATTTGAAAAACATACCCCTAGCCCCAAATAATTATATGTCTTCCATTAATCAGTGTAATTAATTTCGGCACAAATGTTTTTCGCGATTCATGATATAAATTGCTAAACATAACGCCCCCTGTTTACAATAATCACTTTACCTAGATGAAACAAAAAAAGAAGAAAAAAAAATTATACGATGATCGGTTTACTTAGAAAATTTGTTAATATCATCAGAAACGGACCGAGAAGATTTTTTATTTGATTATTTATCAAGTCAAGTAGGAAGAAAGTTCAGCGATACCAACGTTTAAGAACAGCAATTAACTGAATTTCGACAACAGCTGTAGCACACACTCGTTCAAACATCTTTATTATTGGCTCGTACGTAGTATTTGTAAATCATCTGATGCTCGAAACACGACGTCCCTGGACATGATAACTGTCACGTAGGATATTCAACGACGTGCTTGCATGTGCACTCACTACGGTGGCTGTGACCTCCGCATCCTTCCCCTCTCATTCAATGCCGGGCAGTTGCTCGAATGGCCAATGTTATTTTCCGAACCTTCGCCTTCCGCTCAGTCGGAGTAGAGAGAAAGAGAGAAAGAGAGAGATAGAGTTCGTTAGTGAGTGAGTGACGGTGGGAGGGAAGAAGGGAGGGAGGAACAGTCGATTGAACTGGTACGTGTATAAAAGTCCGCTCGATCGCGGTATCGGATATTCATAATCGCTGTGGTTCTTAAGCTGTGAGTGTGCTTTCAGTGGATATCTAAAAATTCCTCTTGAGCAGCAAAATGGCGCGAAGAACGATTTTTTTGGTAGCACTTTGCACCCTCGTCGCGATTGTCGTGGCGGAGGAATTGTACACCGACAAATATGATTACATCGACATCGATGCAGTCCTCAGTAATCCTCGCATTAGGAATCAATACTACAATTGTTACCAGGACTTAGGTCCCTGTCTCACCCCTGACGCCAAATTTTTCAAAGGTATATCATTTTAATGCGTAGTTAATGCTCTACAGACAAATATATAGATCTATAGATGGAGAAAATGTTAGTGCTAAAATATTAAGTGTCATTGTAGGCAATTATTTCTAATAAAATTCTGTCTTATCTATTATCCTAATATATATATATATATATATATCGAACATATCAATCTAATAAGATTTTAGCTATTGAAGATCAATCATTAATTAATAGCATTATAAAAATATAAGAAACTTGCTTTTACTATTATTATAATACAAGATAATATATTTTATATCAGTGAATATTTATAATAATAATTGCATTAAAATACTGGAATTCGGTTTCAATGTTTATTAATTTTCTTGATGTTCAATTACACTCTCTTTCATGCCGATGTATAACTATAATCGTAACCGTATCTTATAAAAACTCTAAAGAAATTATAATACAGTTGTTGAGAGTCTATTTTAATTTACTTTTACAAAATTTAATTTGAAAATGGAGTATAAAAGGACAAATGTGCTAATGAAGAATGTAGAAAAATTAAGGTTTAATTTAATAGTTTAATTGAACATTTTTCTTTAAATTAATGTAAATAAATTATTTTAATAACAGATTTTTATCAAAGTTCAAAAGAATATTTCGATAACCATTTAAAATAAAAATTATATAATTATAATTGTCAAGAAAGATTATACTGAAACGTATATTATAGCGTCATTGATAAATATGCAAATCGGAAGATTTTTCGAAAATATCTCAATAATTTCATTATTATTAAAATAAATATACTACATGTAAATTCCCTAACATTCTGTTATATAAAATATTATCAATACAATATTGAATTCCAAAAAGTTATTGCTTTTAATATGTATATTTTTAGCTATTAATATTCTAATGTTATACTAATACTTTTAATTAAAAAAATGTATGAATGATCATCACAAGTTTTGTCACAGATAAAAATATTTTCCAATTTTATGACTCTAATGCTTAAAAGTTATTCAAAATATTATAAAGAGAATACCAGAATAATCTTAAATATTAAATGAATAGGAAATTATTTGTATGCATGTATGTATGCATTTATTGAATGCATTTTTATTAGAAATATATATATATATATATATATATATATATACAAACAGTATATATAGATATAATATTTATACATATATTTCTAATAAAAATTTATTATAAAGATGAGTCACAAACTGAACAGATAAAAACAAATAGGATAGAAATATATCATATTTAAAATAGTATAAATAATATACGACTAAGAAAAAATTTATTCATTATTTTTACAGAAAAGTTTCCTGAAGCTATTGTGACTAAATGTAGAAAATGCACTGCTAAACAAAAGGAAATATTCGAGAAAATTGTTCTCTTTTATACAGAGAAGGAGCCGGAAAAATGGAACAAAGTTCTTCTTAAGGCCATTCAGGAAAGTAAAAAATCATCTGATAAGAAAAACGAATGATAATATGGTTATTCAAAATAGTCGAGTTGTCTTCAAATTTATAAAAAAATTACACTAATAGTAAATTAATACATCTGATTAAATCAATAACTATTTGTCGCATTAGCTATTTGTATTGATTTATTAATTGTTCATATCGATAAAAACAGCTATAAAAAATTGTAGTACTATATATTAAACTTAAATAAGCTGGAAAATTTTATTATATTTTAACTATTATACCTGTATTGATGATATAATAATTAGTGTATGAAAAATACAAAAAAAAATTTTATTACTGAAAAAAAAGTATAATCTTATGAGATCCTTAGCATTTTCTTATACTTTTTTGTTATTGTTATTGCTATATTTATAAGATTATCTTAAAAATTTTCTACTAAAAAATTAATTTTATTTATACAAGACTCAAATAAGTATTTTAGAAAAATTAATTTAAGACCTCATTTTATACAAGTGTATGTAAACATAATTACAATAAAATTATAGTTATTAACCATTGACGTTTATTTACTGAAATACTTCTACTTCCTCTCCAAAAAATATTTATTATTTTGTGACAAATTTTATTTGAAAATTAAATTATACAGATATATATATATAGAAAAATTATTTACTTTAGAGTAATCATACTCATCGATATGTTTTTCATTAAATCATAATACTTTATAGCATTTGTATTTTCGACAATATGTTTTACTCAGAATGATTAGTTGTGTTCCTTTTTAAAATAATAAATTTTAAATAATAAATATATTAAATATAAAATATATTAAATATAAAATATATTAAATATAAAATATATAAAATATATTAAATATATATAAAAATATATAAAATAATAAATATTTAAAAATAAATTTTTTATTTTATTATATCATTGTGATTACAAATACAAACATTTAGAATTTTAACTCAGGAAAATAAAAATTTATTATTAATATAGCTACAAAATATATTACTGAATAAAATTTTACGTATCTTTACTTAATATCTAAGTGTAAAATATAAAATTTTTTAATTAATTGCTATTAGCAACGTAAATTTAAAAAAAATTCATTTACATAAGGTAAAATTTTTATTATTATTATGTATTTTGAAGATATATTCGTATAATAGTTACAATTGATTATATTTTGAATAATAAACAAAATTTATTAATATTTCAATGGAAATTGATGCTTAATTTTGAAAAATTATTTATTACTATAAAATAATTAAATTCTTTTGAATGTTTATTTACAGAATATAAAATTAATTAAAGATATCTTCTTATATTTTATCAATAAAAATATTGACATAATTCTTAATATAAAATATATTACTCTGATTAAATATATTTATTAATATGATAAATAAAAGTATTAAAATTAGTAATATGACTAAAAAATTTTTTTAAAAAGAAATTTTAATTCTATATCATTATATTTAAACAAAATTCTTAAAATTTTCTACAATGTTTTAAAAGTATTTAAAACATATATGAAATTTAAACAATTGATTTCTGTTATTAAACTATAATGTATTATAAATTAATGTATTATAAATATAATGTATTATAAATATAAATTAAATTGATGGATAATTTGAAAATTGTAGCCGTAATTGCGTAAAACATTAACTTTAAAGGTTTATAATATTTGAAAATATTGTATAGGAAAAATATTTATTAATTTCTTTTTATTTTCAAACTTGTTGCTCATATTTACAAATAATTATTGAAGAAGAAAAAAATCAAATAAATGAACTTTCTCTACAATATTGCATAAAATTCTGAAGATTAGTTTGATAGAGATTTTGTGGATCATACTTTAATAAAAACTCTTTCCAGAGATTATCATACTTCGCCTGCTGCATCGTTAAGATGACTTCGCATCCTATTTTCTTATACCTTTCGGAACATCTTGCACAACTTGTCGTAATGAACTCGGGTAGAAGTCCTGAATAATAAATGAAATGTTTATTAGATGAAAAATATTTTTCCAAATAATCTCAAATCAATCATTGAATTATAGAAATCGAATTCATATTCGTTGTCAATTTTATAAAATTTTTTCATTCGTATGAAACACCTGGCAGAAGGATATTAGTGAATAATTGACTCTTATGTATTATATTCTTTAAGTATGCAGAACTAGTCATTTTTTATTAATTATATTAATTTAGCGACGCTTGTTAAATATATGTTCAGCAAAAGCCAATAAATCGAACGAACCGAATCATATTGTAATATGAATATAATGTTCCATCACCTAAACTTTAATTGCCACAAATTTAATAAGATTAACATTATAAATCTCACTTCATACCGAACCCTTTGTATCTCAAATATCATTTTATGAATTTTTGTATTTTATATAATTGTATATATAATATGTTATGAAATATATTCTGTTTAATTGGCGGATGGATATTTTATATTTTAAAACTGAAGAAATTTTCCAATGCAACTGCATAGGTTACATTTATTTCTCAATATATTTTCATTTTATTAAATACGAAATTGCAATTTGGCATTCTCTTTATATCTAAATAAAAAAATCAAAATAATTAAATTAATCTTTAATTGATAGATTTTAAAATTTCATAGTACATTGAACAATTGATTAATGTCTTTTTATATTATATAAAAACAATATATAGATTTGCATCCCTAGTTATTAAAAAAATAGAAGTTTAATGCTAAAATCCATAAATTGAAAAAGTATATTCGTAATACGAGCTGAAAACCTTTTTGACCGTACCACATAATATTACAATTTTCAATTAATCTCACCATCCACAGTGCTAGTAAAAAAATATTATGCTAATATGTTTTGCTCGTTTAAGTTTTGTTCGAAGAATATTTTTCCATAATTGGTTCAAATCTTTAACGCTATACAAAATCAACTAACTTTTCATAGCTCGACCATCGCCGGAGCAAGGACCTTTATCAAGTAAGCAATTAGCATAATATTGAACTGAAGCTTCATCTTGTAGCAGTGAATTAATTCGTAAAAATGGATCTTCCGCCACTACCGCAATTGCCCAGCCAACTAATATCAGTGATAAATAGAAAGGAGCTCTTTTATCTGTATTGGAATATAAAAGAAATTCAAATCAATAAATAAATATTCATGATCTTGCATAAAATGACTAATGAGAATTTTAATGAGCATGACTATTTCATTGTGCATCGGAAAATTTATTGAGCTACATTAATATTTGCTTACAGAACTATATGAAATTTAATGTAATAGATCGATAATTTAGATACTTGTGCGTTTCCATGCAAATATAAATTTAACTTTCAAGGCAAAATCAAACCTTTATTATAATGATAAAACTATTATGTTAAACTCCAAGTAAATTATCTTACTTGCAAATACGGAAATAAAGATAATGTCTTCGTAATTATAAAAGTTATGTTACAATGATTTAGTTACAGTTAATATTTTATTTTATTTAATCAACGTTTATTACTCAATAATAAATATAAAACTAAATAATTGTATATAAGCATAATAATAAGCAGGGAGTCGTTCAACTTTGTATAATTATGTTGCAGATAATAATGGAATATTAAAAAACACATAATAGCTCATTTTAAAAGTAGTTTCCCTTTTATACATGTGTACTTTTATAAAGTTTAATTATTCATATAACATTTCAATTGCAAAAAAAGTGTTAAGTTCCTATTAAGATAATATTGTCTAATATTTTTAATTATCATGTAGTAAAAAAACAATATTTGTTGCATAAGTTAAAAAAATCTTATTAAGACCAAAAGATAAACATTGCAACAGCAATAATAAGCGAAAATTAAATAATAAATCAGAAAATTTACGATAAAAATAGATGAAAGCTTTTACAATAGATAATATTTTACAAGATAAGACAGCGTTCATTTATATATGCCTGAAAATTAATTTGTTTATTATTAGTAAATAAAATAAAATAAATAAATAAATTAAATTGTAATAGTTAATTTATAATAATATAATAAATAAAATAATAATTGTAATAAATAAAAAAGAAAAAACTAGTAAATAAAAATTAAAGCACGCGTAGGCCATTTTTTTTTCACACTTTGTATGTATGTATATATATAATTTTTTAAAGCAATAAAATAATTTAACAACTTTCCTCTAGAAATAAAGTATATCTATTGCTTAATGATCACAAATTAAAAAAAATGGGAATAATCTTCTGAATTGATAAGCTTAGATAAATTTTTATACATACTTGAAATAGTTAAGAATTTAAAAGAATACTACCTAACGACTCATACTTCATATATTATACAAATTTTTAAACATATAGTGTATCTGTAAGAATTAATAATAATCTAAATTGACTATTAACAAAATAATAATATAAATGAAAGAATTTACTATTCTAATAATATGTCGAAAGAATTTAATTAAATAATGCAAATGCGATCATTTGTGAAGCTTCTTGCATAAGTCGCGATACAACACGATAGTAGAGATAAAGATGTTCCAATATTTTGTTGTGGAGCAATATTGCTGATTGTTTATTGATAATAACTGCAACGTGAAGTACAAGAGAACTCGATAAGTTTATACAATGTAACGAATTCAAACAAATTTCATTAAAATCATTGATAAATCATTGATACGTGTTTGCAATTTTTGCGGGAATATTGAAAGCTGTTCAAAACCGAATAATTTGCAATATTTCAAATATGCAATATTGCATGCATGGTAAGAAAATATCGATCACTTAATAAAGTTATTTCAGCCCCATAATGCAAATAAAAAATATAACGTATGCAACCGAACCTTTCATCTTCTAAAATTTCGACTCGTTCCGACGTAAAATATGTAAGTGCCACTTGCAGGATCTAGAGTTCTACTACGCACGCAAGACTACAAAAACTTTTATATGCATAAAAAAAGTCGTTTTACTCATAAATCAACTATCGGCACCGATCAATCATATCATTGGCTTTATCATTGGTTTTCGTCTTTTTTAAAGCCTTCGAGCACGTTTTGATGAGCAGCGCGCGTGGCTAATCACAAGCGTGACTTTCACAGTTTTCAAATGCGATCAGTACACAGGCTTAGAAATCCTTACTGATCAATCTCTTATATACACATGCAAATTCGAGTACGTATGTCATTAATTTTTTTCATTGCGATATTATTCTCTAAATATGCGTGAGCAGAGAAAAGCTAAAAATCTTTATTTAAAATAACACAGCACTCTTGTTTACTTATATGCGTACTATTTCGAAGTTAAGGTAAAAAAATCGTTTGTTTTAAAAAATTAAAAAGGAAAAATAGTTACCGTCATTTAATGAAAATTTAATAAGTACATTTTTAATAAGAATTCTAAAATATAGAAGTATGTATTTTGAAATTGAAAGGCATGCAATTAATTGTATATAATATTTAAGTTTTCTTTATATTCTATTTTAATTAAACATCGTATGAATAACTATTTAGTTCAATTATGTATGTAAATTTATAATTTTCAATTAAGGTTTAACGTAAGTCAGAATTCTAATTAATTCATTTGCATTAAAAAACATTTATTCTATGAAATAGTTTTCTATTCTCTTATTTATTTTAACAGTCATAATAAGTTAAATAGTTTTCTACTTACTAATATCATCTCTTAATGAGATATAACTCATGCATTCCTTATTCTAACTTTAAATATTTCTTATTATGAATAAAATTCTTTTTAAAATATAGATAATAGTTTTTAAAATACATTCATAAATTTTATAAGTTAATAATATCGATTTATCAAATTTACACAAAGTTACCTTACGCAAATAAAAAAAATGTAACATTATAATTATCATATATATATATATATATATATATATATATTATTAATTAATATTTTTAATACAAAATACATACCAATGTAATATAAAAAATATATTTTAATAAAACTGAAATAATCTAACAATACTCACTAAAAATGATATATAATTTAAATTTGTTATTGAACATAAACTTCCTAATTTGTATTTCTAATTTTTTACTTTTTTACTTTCAAATACTATAATGATTTAACATATATACAGAATTTTAACAAACACTGCATAATAATATAAATTTAATTATGCATTATTCAATCATATTATATTAGAATTTAAAACATTATTTAAATTTTCAAATTAAGTAACTTAAAATTTATCAAGTGATTGAAAATTGAATTAATAAGTCGGCAATTTGAAATAAATAATGAATTTTATTTTAAGAATTAGTTGAAGTATATCAAAAATAATAATTGTTCTATAATAACTGTAATAATACATTAATATCGCATTCAAATGAATTATAATTATTTATTTCTACACAATATTTTATTTAAAATACTTACCTTATAATTATGTAATCTTTCAATTATATTTGATTTTTTCTTTTATAATGTTGTTACTTCGAAGTTATAGCTATTTTTTTAGATTAGATATTATTTTTAAAATATTATATATCTATTTCATATTTAAATATTTTTTAATATTTTAATATATTATACGAGACTTTTTAAATAACTAAAGTTTACAATGTTGTAATATAGTTATTTCTTTATTTTTTTAAGAAAAAAATTCATATACTCTTATTAGGAAATAAAATTAATTTAATTAAAAAATTTATATTTCATATTTTTATATATAAAATATAAAAGGAATTGTAAATTCGAAAATCTAATTGAAAATCATCATCTACTTAAATTATCATTAAATTTATAATTTCATATAAAAATTTTTAAATTTCAAGATAACAGAAATTACCTCGAGAACATTGTAGTAGTATAAAAAATTAATTATTTTAATTACTTACCTGTTCCACTAACATTCAACAAATACAGAATCATAATATTTCCAATTAGTCGTTAAAATTTAAATTGTATTTTCATTTTTATTTAAATTCAAAAGAATGTTCTTCTTTCATTAATTTATAATAGTTTGGTATGCAGAAGTATCCTTTTATATTTTCCTTTTATATTTTTATATTTATATTGAATATTTATAATATAAGTAATAAGAAATAGATATTATTAATGATAATCAATTATTGACGAAAGATTGCATTTCAATTAAAAGTATTTAATGCCTTTATGTTTTTTTTTAAATGCAAGCGTTTTATATAGAACTTGAAAGGATTAAAATTTTATAAGTTAAAATTAAAATGTAAAATAAAATTCTCCAATATTTAACTGTACTTTCTTGAGATAGAAAAAAACATTAGGACCATTAGTTGTAATTTTTAAAATATTAATAGCAGAAATTTTATAATATATATTAAGAATAAAATGGAGAGTAATTAGCAGATTTATCTATTTGAATCTAAATAAAAATGTCTATTAGATATTAATATCTATCATCTTCTCAAAAGTAGAAAAATAAATTTTAATACTCGGCTAATGAGAAGATAATTATTTACAATGTTTTAATGTTTAATACATTATACTGATTAATTAAAAGCAAATTTATTACTTATGCAAATGCTTTTCAGATATATAGGTGAACAATTGAAAAAGATAATGTTTAGTATAAAAACATATATAAAAGATAGCGTTACATAATTTATCCATTTACAAAATATAATATTTATGTATTTTTGTCACTTTCGCTTATTTCTAATTATAACGATATTTTTATATGTAGATTTTCGGCGATTTTATAGTTTTGTGGTAGTTTTTCCCCCTTTTTTTCTAATATTATTAAAATATCATAAATAAAATTAAAATCGATTAACTAAAATTGTTTACTCATTAAATTTAACGAATACATAATGAATAAATTATAAAATAACATAGGCATAAACAAATCATGCACGAATAAATATTTTACAATAACGAATTTGACTTAATAGTATAAAATATTAGCAGATATTAATAATAAAATAATCATTAAAAAAAATTAATGGTACTGTGTGATGTATTCATTGTATATAATGAATAAAGTACAGAGTGGAAAATGTGTGCAAAGTACTTATTTCGTCATACGTTTATAATTATTCGATTGTGATAAATATTAGCTTCGAGTTTTATAACTGGGCTTAAAAAATATACTCATAGGAAAAACATAAGGTTTACGTATTATTGTGGCAATCATAAAAAAGGTGTCCAACAAATTAGGTGTCACGGCTCAGCGGCATAAAGGTGCTCCTGAAAAAGTCATTTATTCTGTTATATTTATGATTCGTGCCAATGCTTTGTCACATAATAGATTTTAAAACGTATTATTTATTTATTGTGCTCAAGGCGATATTAAAAAAATAAAAAAAAAGAACCATAATTTAGAGAATTTAGCTTACTTTATTCATTATTAGCTGACATAATTATATACAAAAAATGAAATTGTGCGTAAAAATTGTATGTAATTAGAGTATAAACAATATGTAAATAAATATATGCAAAACTCTTTAAAATTATTAAAAATTACAAATGAAGCTTTACTTCACATTAAAAATATTTTATATAAATAATGTTTACACTTGAACGTTTTTTAATGTTTATTTTAAGAACTATGATGCATCTTGTATGCCACAGAATGATTTACACTTTAAAAGTGTAGGGTACTTTCTGTAGATATAAGTTTGATGTACTTGATATGTATTGATGAAATATCGTTTATCGTATACTTGTCTTTTGTACCTTCATTATAGCTTTGAAGCCGAAAGTTACAGCGATGCCCAAGCCAAACATTACCAAATATGGTAAAAATTTTACTCCAGGAATATCTGGCCTTTTTGCCATAAGAAAATTTAAGAATTTCAATTTCTTGTCTGAATAGGGAGGATACCGTACACTGAAAATAATAGAAATATAATTTTATCCTTTAGAATAAACTACTATATTGTATTTATAATCAAAGTAAGAAAAATTCAACGATTAAGTGTTTCAGATTTATATTAAAATTTCATTTTAGCAAAGCACAATGGCTTAAATTAATTAAAAATTAAAGCAAAAATAATATTAGTGATTCGATTGATATCATAGATAAGTAAATTATACTTACGCTGCTATAGTTTCACCAATAATATTAAAGTTTTTTATCAAACAACCTTTAGGATGAACAAACGTGTCAAATGTCAATTTTCCATGGTAAGATCCCATTCCTGATGGTCCAATGCCACCAAAGGGTAACGTATCAACTAATAAGAATATTGTATTATAAGTTTTATGATATGGTATAAAGTGAATAAGAAATTTGATAATTAAATATATTGTCAAGCAACTGAAATACATAAATCTACGTTCAAATTTAATTATGCTACAGAATTACTTTGTTAAAGGTGCATGAGTGCAGAAAGTAAATGAAAAACAAAATACCTAAAAAACATACCTGAAACATGCAAGATTGTATCATTAACTATAGTATTTCCACTTGATGTATTATTTATTATTAAGTTAATTTCTTCCTTATTAGTACCAAAGATATAAAGTGCTAAAGGCTTATCGCTATAGTAAATATAGTGAAATAGAGATTTAAATAAAAATGAAAATAATATGGTTTTAATTTACATACATCATTACAATTAAGTTGAATGGTTTATTGCTGATATTTATAATTTGTAAGACAATTGATTAGTAATGAAAGCTTCTTATGCAAAACCGTTTAACTACAAACAACATCAAACTAAAATTACACTACTAGTTATATAATATCCTAATAATTATTTAAACATTTTTAGATAAAGTGGTAAGTCTATGTTTTTATACTATGTTAACCATAAAAATAACTTCAACCCCCGATGTTAAGATTACTAAGGAAGTAAATAATTAAATATATGCAGGCTAAATGGTTATAATATTCTAAATAACAAAATAAAACTTAAACGCACCATTAAATATTATGATTAAGGAAGGTAAAGTAAAAGTGTCGTTTAATATAACTAAAAAGTAACCATCACCTAGAGAAATTTTTTCCTAACTCACCACTATATTGCATGATTGTATCATTGACACACACAGAACCAGATTGGGTTTGAGTTACTATCAAATTCTGTACTCCTTTATTCTTGGTAAATAAGTACAATACAAGAGGTTGTTCTCTATATTATAGAAAACAAATTTATTATTTTTTTTTATTCTTGGATCAGCATGAAAAGCTACATAAATTTGTATGATGTAAATGTAAAAAAATAATAACTATAAAATTTAATTCCAGCAATAAAACCATTAAACTTCCACATTTTTTGGATAAATTTCTAATTAAATATGTATTCAATTCATAAAATAAGCTTAACGATCTAAAAAATAATAAAAGACATGAAATTATAACTTTTATAAATGAAAATAAGCTAAAAATTAAAATAATTATTTAATTATAATCTTGTAATTAATTTCAATTATGTTTATTATCGTCAATCTCTACTTTGTTAAATAATTTTATGAAAGATATTTCTTTATGGTATTAAAAAATGTTATGACGAATAAGTAGACTTAATTTGAGTAAAATTTATCAACAAAAAATTGTTTTTGCACAATTTATCTTACATTATTTACTATGAATAAAATGTATGATGGTAAATAGAAATGTCGTAATATTTTTTTCACAGTCTAAATTGCTTTATCATGTCAATGTAAAGTTAAATAAGAGTTATGAATGTCAAATAAAAATGATACAAATATGAGATAACTTGTACATCATACGTAAAAATTTTAATTATACTATCTATAGATCTGTGAAAGTATTTCATAAAAAAATATGTTAAAATTTACCGTGAATTGATAAAATTAATTGCTTCATAGGCATTACTAATATTTACAATAGGTAATATTGGTCCAAAAATTTCTTCGCTCATCACTGCATCTGTAAATTTTACATTAATAAGAATTGTTGGTGCGATAAATTTTTCACTTGGATCAGTATGTCCACCGATAGCCACTTCACCGTCACTCAAGAAATTGATTAACCGTCTGTGAAATTGATGAAATTTAATTTAATTATTCTTGTAATTCATCTAATTTCGAGCTTAACGATAAAATTATTAAACTCACTGGTAATGCTTTTCATTAATAATACGCGAAAGATCTGGACTATTTTGTGGATTTTCACCAAACCACTCCTTTATAATTAACTTTGCTTCTTTTATAAATGCATCTTGTACTTCTTTCGAACAGATAATATAATCGGGAGCTATGCACGTTTGACCCATGTTTATAAATTTGCCCCATAATACTCTTTTAGCTGTGACATTTATATCTGCTGTACTGTCGATGTAAACAGGGCTGTAAATTATAAAATAACATTACTTATTACTATTACTCACTAGTGTAGATAAATAATATCAATAATTAAATGTTAACAAATATTTTACCTTTTACCTCCGAGTTCTAAGGTGACTGGTGTAAGATACTTATTAGATGCTTCCCGTACAATACGTCCTACTGCGGTTGATCCAGTATAAAAAATATAGTCAAATTTTTGTTTTAAAAGTTCTGTAGTTTCATTAATACCACCTAAAATAACTTTATAGCACTCCTAAAAATTTTGATTTATATAAAATTTTTTATCAATTCCAAAACTTGCGATACTTAATATTATATTGTGCACAGCTTACGTTGTTTAAATATTTTGGAATTAGTTCACCTAAAATATTCGAACAATTTACAGCCACCTCCGATGGCTTAAGAATAACTGAATTTCCAGCTGCAATTGCACCCATGAATGGTACTAGTGATAATTGTATAGGATAATTCCAGGCACCTATGACTAAAACAACACCATATGGTTCCTTATGAATAACAACATCATCCAAGAGATTAATCATTGCTTTAGGTGGCTAAAAGAATAAATATTTTTACAAAATAATGGCTACACATATTTTATGTATTATGTTTAAATGTTTACAATTTTTTCTCTTCTACATTTTTATCGCTAATTTGATGTAAAATAATGAATTATACAATAAAAATAAAATCTTAAATTCAGAGATTTAAATATACTTAATTTATAATAAAATATTTACCATTTCCGAAGCAGCCCAATTTTTTATATTCATTAGCATATGATTGATTTCATTAATTGTATAATCAATTTCAAAAACATAGTTTTCAAATTTACCCTAAAAGAAGCAATTTATACATTGATTATCAAAAATACATACCGAGTTAATTTTCACATTTTAAGTCAAAATATTTGTTAAAAAGCCATACCCTTCCCAAATCCGCATTTAATGCAGCATGAATTTCCAATTTATTTTCTTCTAACATTTTTAGTAATAGTTTCAATTGCTTAATTCTGAACTCCAGTGGTCGAGTTTTACCGCTATAAAAAGTGTACCGACTGGATTGAACAATCTTAAAAAAATATATCATAATATATTATAATATTTAGTATATAATGTATGATATTAGAATAACATTTAATATAAAAATTTCTACAATTTAATAAACTTACTTCGCCAAAGTTGGACATGTTGTCTTCACCGTTGATAGAAACTGAAAAAGACAATAAAATCATTTGGCTTTTGAATTATAAATAGAAAAATACCATTCCTCAACAATTAAATATTAGCACAAAATTTCTGAAATATTAATTTTAATTCATAAATAAAAGAATACAATATTAAAGGATAAATAATTGCACAAAACTAAAAATTCATCATATTTCTTTATATATTATTATATTATTAAATAATTAATTATTTAATTTATAATCAGTATGTTGTAATAATTAATTTCGAATGATTTAAAAAAAAATTACTCTTAGCATTAATTCAGCGTGACAACTAGTTAATCTATAGATTGAATATATTTTAAAAATATAATAATTTAATATAATACACAAAATAATGATATCATGCACCTAACAACGCTAGCAATTTTTATAATTACTTAAAAATTGCTATGTAATTGTAAATATAATGTACACTAGTGGTTTCGCGTTTCTATAGTTTTTCATTTCTGATCAGTATGGATTGTAACTATTTGGTTTTATTAACAGAGTGCGAGCATTACACATATTACATTACTGTCATTGGCTCCTTGAAAAGCGGAATATTTAAATCAATACAAAAATAAAAGAAAAAGATAAAGAAAACAAAGTATAGCACAAGCATATTTAAATTCATATGACATAAATCATGTAAGTAAAAATTCTTAGTCAAATATGAAAGGAAGTAAATTTAAAATTCAAAGCTTCAATTACTTTAATGCAAATTTACATTTATATGATAATTTATGCTTTTATTTATTATATCTAATCAATTGCATATCGACAGAATGCATTTTCTCAACAATCTTAATTTGTGTATCTAAGTGTGCAACTAACAATTATATAAATCAATTCATTACACCAAATGAAGAATCAATTAAAAAATAAAGGAATGTATATTGGGTCAACATTATTACTTACGCTATTGACAATTTCACATAATATTATTTATAAAATATATAAATATAATGAAATTAATCTGGAGGTTTTTTTTTACTTAATTGAGAATTTGATATATTTTTATTGGTAGCTTGCTAATGATGCATCGACATTGTTTTTCTAAATATAATAATACATGGAAAATATATGATAACCATGGATGTTGAAGCCTACAAGGCAAAGAAAAAATGTAACTACAAAGTAAATCACATTCAACACTTGCACGTTCAATACAGAACGTGAGATAGGCTTTGTTTTGTTTTTAATTAAAAACAAATTCATGAACTTAAAATATTCATAGAATTAAAAAAAATGAATGTCCGTATAGTAATATTATGTATTATATAACTATGTATTATAAATGCAGTATTATAATACTTTTAACAGAATAATACTAAAATCGGATATTCTTAATAATGTTAAAAGCATCTTTCATTATATTTAGTACAATTAGTATTTTCAAATTGAAAATCATAAAATACTCACATGTGCAACGAAATCACAGGACACGCTTCCTAAACTTAATTTTTTTCTTTAACTTTATATCATAAAAATGTCACGTACTTTGTTTCGATGTTAAATTTACAATGTTGCGAGTTTAATGCGGCTTGGTCTTATCGCGTGAGTTTTTTGCTTTTGTCTCTCTCTCTCTCTCTCTCTCTCTCTCTCTCTGTCTTTCCATATTATAATTTGATTATAATTATACTACCAGAATTATCATTATTAATTGATAATTATATGAAAACAGAAGATTTTATTAATTTACTTGTACTTGAACTTGTACTTGAACTTGAACTTGTGATTAACTAAGCCCATCAATAACTATAAGTCTATTGGCGTAATTGCAGAATTAATAATAGATTTTGTGTCTTTGCAATATATGAAACATATATAGAATTTTTATATCTCATTATTAATTAAAAATAAAAAAATTCATAAAATATTTATTGACTCATTTTACACAGAAAACTACATAATTCAATCAAGTAAAAAATCATTTGTAACTTTATCGTATCAATATTCATACATGTCTCTCTCTCTCTCTCTCTCTTTGCGTACGTAATGATTTGCTTTTAATTTATTAAATTCTTAAAATTCATTTACATTTCAACAGTAGTTTCAACAAACAATTATATTACATTAAATTCAGATTACATTAAACGAGATATTTATATTGTTATGTTTGTTTTTAGCCTATAATTTATTTTCTCAAAATTATCATAGAAAATATAGAAATTCTATGTATTCAATCAATATTCCTAAATATTACTTCAATTTCATGAGTTATAATATTAAAAAGATAAATATTTTTATCTGAATTATTTTAATCACTTTTATATGTATCTCATGTATGTATAATTTATCTTTTGTATTATACAAACAAATGTTGATTTTCTGTATGAATAATATACAAACAAGTCAAAAAAATTTCGGCTAAATACAGATTTATGTTTAAATCTTTAAATGTTTAGAATTTAATCCAAACTTATATAACTTGTTTATATTGTGAATCAAAAAGTATACAAAATACATACTAATGATAATTTTACAAGCCTAGCAAACAACATTATAAATATATACTTTTGAATAATTAAACGAATTAGCATTGATACGATTAATATTTTATTGAAAATATTTTACAATAAAACGTAATATTGCATTAATTATTTTATAAGATATTCCATAAATAAATTAACAAATTAATTTTAACAAATCGTTCGTAAAAACTATTCGTTTAATTAAATAGGTACATGACACTGGTATATGAAAAGTATGTTTATTAAAAAAAATTTATATCTTTATATAATTGAAATTAACTAGATCTTTTAGATGTTTTATTAGCTTAAATGTTAAAAATATTCATATATGCTTACATTGCTGACTATCTAAGCAAAAAAATATTACAATGAAATATTTAAGTCATCAGCTTCTAGTTACCTTTCTACTTTATTATGATGTTTATGAAAACATTATTGGTTTGAAATATCTAATCTGTCATCAATTACTATAGCATAATGAGATTGACTTAACTGAAGGAAACTGCTAAGGAATAATGCCAATGTTAAATTTCGTAATATAACATTTCGAAAACATTGTAATGATTAAAAACATGAATAAAGTTTTTTCCTCCTTTTAATCATTCTTTTGATCGATAAACATTGCTATAATTATGCATTTTTAGATAATAATAATGAGTTACGCATAAATTAGAATACAAAATTATTATATAACAATAATTCTCTATTCTAGAGTTGCGATTAAACAAATTGAAAAATTTGAAAATAAACTTTTTTAAACGAATGTAATAAATAATTGTTTCTTAATTATATATATATATATATATATGTTTATTCTTACATTAAAAAATTTAATTATTACGATATATTCAATAACACTATCAGTCATTTACGATTTTACTAATGAAGTATAACTTAAAATTATTTTGCACTAGGTCTTATGTAATTTAAAATAATTAAATTAAACAAACCTATTAGATTTCTCGAAAGGAACAAGAAATAGTAGATTTAAGTTTTTTTTAATAAAAATAAATATTTTTTTTTTGTTAAATACACTCATTAAATGAAAAATTTAATCATCTTCTAAAATCACAACCTATATCATATTAAAAAGTTTTTTCGTCAGAATTTATTCAATATATTTTGACTAATTACTAAAAGATTTTAAATCAGCGGATAATATTTTATATATAAATAATTGTACTTGTATAGTATAGGAATTATGCACGTAATTAATATTAGTTTGGTGTAGGAAAAGTGAATTCAAAATTAGACGAAAAAAATATTGCAACATCAAATCACTTAAAATTAATAGACCTGTATTTTTTTATACGAATTTTTACCGGCAGGTTTCTTTAACCACTTTCACATCATCATAATAACGCTGAGTTGATATTACGACCGATCAATGAGTATTTCTATTTATATTACGAATTAAAAGTTTTTAAGTACATAAGCAGCTTAGAAGGTGAAAAGGTAGTAAGATTCATACGACGTGAATAAATAATTTATGTCTAATAATTGGTATAATTAAATATATCTTCATCTATGTTGTTTAGACCTTTGAAGAACTAATTAAATGATTCTAGAAAGTTCTTATAAAATTAGAGGTAATTTGCGAAAAAATTATGCTAATGATTGTAGATATTAATTTATCATTATTCGAATTTACTATAAGAATATTATACGAATATCATATTTTCAGTTTATTGATACGTATATAAATTCATTTATTTATAAGCATGATATTCAAATTATTTATGATATTTGAGCAAACACCTATCTTTTAATGATATATCATTTTTGTCATATTTGGCTTTTTGAATAACAAGAACAAATATATTTGTCTAATACTTTCATATACATAATATTGCATATTATTCATATTATTAGTAATTGTATATTGAATTTATTTAAAAATTAAATTATATGAATATTAAAAACTATTTATGCTTTGAAACGCTATAAGATTATTTCGAATGTATTAAAAGTTAATTATGAAATACATAAGAATTTTATTTTTTCAATCAAAATGATAAGAAACTTTGAAATTAATTGACATTTTAAAAATTAATGTAATAGAAATTATTGTTTAAAGTATAACATTGAAAAACAAATTAATTGGAATTCATAATTATATTTTTAAATTATATTGGTTTAATGTACTTAGTAACAATATATATATATATATATATATATATATATATATATATATATATTGTTATTTCTACATGTATAAACAATATCTGAAATCTGCGATTTAATTAAATATTTGTTCTATTTAATTTTTTTCATAAAAAATATCTTTTCTCAAATAAATATATTATATTTGGAATTAAAACGTTTTGTAATAAAGTATGACAGAAGGAGAAATTCTTTTCATCTGTTTTATTACTTGAACAAATTAATATCAAATATGGGTGTAATAAGTTTTTTTTTATGTAAACGACTTACTAAATAATAATACAAACATGTAAATACCTGTGTAGATAATGGAGGGAGAAAAGCAGAAATTACTTTAAGAAATTCAAAAAAGTTTAGAGAATCTTAACAAATTATGGTTAGCTGTAGTGTCACTAAACATACCAAGGATTTCTGGTATCGCAAAAGAGAGACTCCAAGAAATATAAAAATGTAAATTATTAGTTGATACTATTCTTTCGAGTAAAGATGAGTCTTATTCTTTGCATCCACAAAAAAGAAACGAGGAAAACATTGTTACTCAAAGCATATATAAATATAAATTTTTAGATGTTATCTGACTCTTTTGAAATATTTATCAGATATATTCGTCGTAAAATTTTTAAAAATCACAGTTATTTTTTAAACTAAACTATATATATATATATATATATATATATATATATACTCTTATTCTTTACTAATATATTTAATTTGATTTTATATTAATTTATGGGATATTTATAATTTTTTTAATTTATTGATAACATTGGGCAATTATTTATTAAATATTTGAACACTTACAAACTTTTATATTTTTATATTAAATATAAAAAAATAAAGAATATTAATATTTAAGAATAAAATTATAATTACATATATATCCAAATACTATTTATTATAAGCATTTTAATGATCATAAACAGTTTCACAAATGATTATTAATACTATTAATTTTAATATAATTAATAGAATATTATGTACATACTGTTTACTGTTAACTAGCATTGATACTATTTGTTATATGTTCGTTTATATATTTTATTTTATTTTATTTAAATTTTTTTTATTGTTATTATTATTATTATTATTAAATTCAAAAATTCGATACATTTTATATAAATTTCTTTAAGGTATTTTATATTCACAAATTTGAATTACTAAAAATATATTATCTTAAAGCATTTTTATAGTACTGGAACAAAATATTACGAAAATAAAAATTAGATTCACAAAGTAATGTATCAAAAGTTTTATGAAATAATTTCACTGTTATTATCCATTTTTCTATCATTGTTTAAAATTAATTATGATCAAACATTAAATTTCTAATTTGTACAATATTTTTACTACAATATTTTATTGTTTTATAATTTATCGTTGGTTTCTATACATTTGCTAGTATCAGAAAAACGTCTAATAAAAAATATAGTTTTAATGTTTCAGAATAGTTTTAGAATACTTCAAAGTCTTTTTTAATAATTTCATTAATTCCATAAACTGGAACATGGAATATTATTTTCACTCTCTATAGTTTATTATTATACTTATTTTTATTATTCTACATATATTATATACACACACTCGCGCACACGCAAGCACACGACTCATGCATATTCTTGGTATGTGTCTAAGCAACTGCTTTTGACGATATTTTACAATTAATTATATTTATATAATAATAAATTTATAATTAAATAGTTTAACGATTGAATGAACAGTTTTCTTTGATTAAGTACTATTACTATACACTAAATGCATGAATCATATTTCAAAATAAATTTTTTAAATATATCTATTTATTTGATTTATCCAATATTAAAAAATATTATTCGACAAGAAATAATAAGTTTTTATGATAATTAAATATCAAATAAATTCCTAGCCCTCTAGCTACTTTAAATACAATTATTTACGATAAATCATAAAAGATAGTCACTGTTTACATATATGTTTATTGGCTTTATGTTTCATTATTATCTATATTGTATATAGGACTTTGTGAATATTGTATAAAAAATGTTAATTATATGCACAATATTATAATAATTATAATTATAAACCCTCTTCTTTAATAAAGTTGAATAAATAACATATTTGTAATCTTAATGTATTTTCAAACTTAAATAATAATAAAATACAGAAGTATATTGAAAAATACATATATACTGAGAACTGAATGCCGTTTAAACGTGAAAAAAGAACAATACACGAACAAAGCATGTTACAAACGTTTAAAAACATTAAAAATGCTATAAACAGAGATTAGAAGCGCATCTTAGCTTCCATTGTTTGTTTTTCTGCGCAACACTTTAATTTCTTGGTATTGAATACATATAACCAACACGAGTATACTATTATTAATAAAAATATGAAATCATGAAACTAATTACTACTTACGTAACTCTAATGTTAAGTACAAATCATCTATTACCTTTTTTCAATTAATATTTTACTTTGAAATATGATCGTTTAATTTAATATTAAAATTTATGCAAATTTTAACTCCTCGTACTCATTTTTAAAGTGTCATTAATTAAAATAACTAACTTTTATTATCTAATCCGCACATCTGTATCTCATTCGTTAAAAATATTCAAACTTATATTTCCTAGGTAATTTGTAGTGTTGTATGTATAACAACATTATCGATTTAAATAATTGTCATTTAATTAGATTTATTATGTCTATTTAAATTTGCTAATTCATCATTAATTTAATAAACCATAATTCAATAGCATATTATTTGCAAGAAGCTAACGTGTAACAATTAAACCAGAAATACCTACTATCATCTACTAAAAAATTAGCTTTACACTACAACATTAATATTTATATTATTGATCTTATAGATTATAAAAAAATGTGTATATTCAAATAATATCAATAACTCTTTTAACCGACTTTCTCTCATATATTTCTTATGTCAATAAATAAATTATAATTGCGATTATATAGATATAAGTTAAAAGAATCTGTGGGCATATATTTAAATTTCTAATTATTTTTTATTATATTAGCGAAGTAATTTAAGCATAAATAATTTAATTTCCTAAATCGATACTATAAAGACCTTTCGTAAAGATATTTTCATAATTCTGAAGCATTTAATAGATACTAAAATAAAATCTAATCCCAATAAAACATAAGAATAAATAACAATAATTTATATATTAAAAACACACATTTCCCAAATAAATTTTTTGCGAATCTCGTTTTCTAATAAAAAGTAATTCAATACTTAATATTGAACGTAAAAGTTAATCAGTATGTCAATTAATATAATTAAATTATAGAATATTTTAATTATCGATTAAAATCTTTACGATATAAATGCTCAATTTAAAAAGTGGAAACTGGATATTTGCATTAAAATCTTTGATAGGTATAATAGACAAAAAATTATTCACTCACCTTCGGGTACTTGATCAATCAATAACGTAGTCTCTTGCGGCTTTAAATCCAATCTGCATACTTCTGCTTTGTTAGCATCAACCAATATGGATTTGGATTTCTCGTTTACCTGATCGTCCGCTTCACTCATATCCAGGACCACTTCCGCCTGCAGAATCACAACACTTATTAAAGAAACGCGCAAACAAAACGCAAAGAGAATTCGCGGTTATTTAAGACAAACAGTAGTTGTAATGGCAAAGCAAGCCAAGAAATGATCAACCGCATACCCACCAAACAAGAGTTAACGAGCAACTGACTATATCACGTGCGTGTAAGTCGCAAATAAGCATAAAGCATGTGTTGGTAATTCAGAAAAAAGAACGCTAATGTTAACTGGATGCATTACATTTCCATATTCGCAAAAAGAGAAAGCGGGAGACGAAAAAAAAAATGAGATAAAATTAATGTTGTACGACAGAGAGAGACAGAAAGAGAGAGAGTGTGTGTGTGTAAGAGAGAGAGAGAGAGAGAGGCAATAATGTTCATGTAATAATGCTGAAATTAAATGAAAAGATAAATTAATTAATTAAATAAAAAGAAAATGTATAATATTATTTTATGTGAAAAATAACACAAATATTATCACTGGTTCCTAGTGAAAGTAATTAAGAGAACAAATACCATTCACTTATTGGTTACGTCAGATAAAAATTATTGAGAACAATAGGATTTTTTTAAAAAATTATACATTTGGATATGAGTAATTGTAACTCGATATAGATTGAAATATTTTTTATTAACAATAATATAATACTATCATCATTCCATGAATCGTACAATTTTTTACAGAATCCGATTTCCGGAAAAAATTTTAAATACTTTTTTATATCAAACAACTAAATTTGATAAATATTGAAAAAATATAGTTTCATGTATATTCAATAATATAATTGGGTTTATCGTCATCTATTTTCAATATTGAAAATTTATTTCTTATCTTCTATTCTTATTATGTACGATTTGGCTGATTTTTATATAACATCATACATTATTAAGAATTAAAATACATTATTAAGAAATTAAAAATTCCAAATTACGCATCAGTAAAATTATCTTCTGATTGATATCTGAATGATCATATGATTCTTTGTCGATTTAAAAAAAATTCTTTCATCAAAAAAACTTTTAAATTAATTGTTGCTGACACATACATAAATATTAGTGCATTTGTATTTGCAGTGTTTCATACATATTGTACTTAATAAGATTGAAAAGGAAAATATATTTCGTTAATAATTGAGACTGATGCATTATTGATTCAGTGTTTTATATTTCTTATTTATTTAATAAAATAATAGAACTATGGCATATTATTTATAATTAAGCATTTACGAAATATATTAACTTTTCTTAATTTCTTGACCTTCCTAAATTTCCTAACTTTCCTTCCTGAACTTTCCTATATTTACATAATACGTTTATATTTAATATTAATAAATTGAATTACTTATAATTAAAACTTATATTTAATATAATTACTTATTGATAAAAAATTTCTTTATTATACTATTATAAATTTTTTATTAATACAATATATATATATATATAATTAATTTAAATAAGATTTAAATAATCGTAAAATATTAAATATGAGTTTGCATGTATGTCGAGACGTATATGCTAATTATTAAAAGAAATGTAATAAAAATGATAGAAACTTATAAAAGTATAGAAATTTCATATATACAGTCACTTTTCATGCGTAATCAATGCTACAGAAATTACTAATACTTATTTTTTATAGTTTTAATACTTAATTGATAAGTAATAAAAAATAAAAACCAAAAGTTAGAGAAATTAAGAAACTAAATAAGATGTGATATTTGGTAAAATAACCGCTTACAAATTCTCAAATATAAATAAACTATTTAAAAATCTTGCAAGATTAGTGTAAATTAATTAAATGTAATAAAAAGTTAACTTCTTTTTTTAGAATTATATTTATTAAAACTTGTCTATTAATTTAAATTGTGTTTACAATTATTATTATTATTTTCGTAATTTTATATAACAATAATATATAAACAAAATTTTTATATTGAAGATTCATTTTAAACGTATTTTTCGTCATTTAGAAATACATATAGTGAGAAAATTTATGTATTATGTCATTTATTGGAAAAAAATGGTATATTACACAGTTTTTAATAATTTTACAGTGTTCAATTTATTGTTTTTTATTTAATTAATATTATTTAATAAATACTATCGAATAAATAACTTTGACTTATTATAATATCTTTTAAATTTTAGAAAATATGTTGAATTTATTAGTAATATAAATATATGAAATGTTGTATAAAATAAAATGAAAAGAATTTTTCGTCAAATCCTTAATGTATGTAATATATACTATTGAAATTTATCATTTGTAGTAATAAGATTAATTCGTAAGCATAACTTGTTAGTTTATTATTTCGTAAAAATATTGATTATATTACATTAAGCATGAATCAGACATATGCATATGTAAGAAAGCCTTAATAAATTCGAAATTATTGCATTATAGTTGTCATTATAATAAATAATAAATTAATTTAGAACTTTATATATAATATTTATTTTAATGTTTTGATAGTTTAGACAAAAAATTACATTTACATGAAAAATTATATATATATATATATATATATATATATATATATATATATCTAATTGCGAATAAACGTTAAAGTCAATAATATATGGTAATGTAAGTGATTTGCATAATAATTAATGACATAAACACCAATAACTACGTCAAAGTTTTGATTCAATTCTTAATTAAGGGTAGCTTCAGCTTAATAATTATATTATTTAACATATAATTCTAAACCATTTCAATTCAATTTAGAATATAGATATATAATTTAAATAACAATATTAATAAAACATTAATACAAATATTTATTGATACAAATAATATATAATTCCTTTATTTTAATTTAATTTTTTTTATCAATATATTATATATCTTAATTCAAATATATCTTCAATAGAGTATAGTTAAACAAATCTTATTATAATAGTTTAATATAACAATATATTTTTTTTTTCTTCGAAATATAATTTTTTTAATAGAATGAAAAAAAGTTTAGGAAAAATAACACGAAGAAGAGAACGCCTCCGTAGAACGTTAAGAAGGTAATTAAATACTAATGATTTGAATGTTTTGCCGTGTCAGTATGTATTATTCGTAAGTAAAACTATCTATGAAATATTTAATTAATCATATAAATCAGCACATTTAATATTCACAGCACTGATGTAGATTCATGTTTGACACCACTTCGCTATTAATTTTTACTATAAAATGATTTATAATGGTTGAAATTGAAAATCTATGTCGAATTTGTCAAAGATCATAAATAAAATAGTTTTTAAATAATAGAAAAAAAAAGTTTCTATCTACGTGAAATAGAATCTTTTTAATAATATGGTTGCTCAATTTTAAAGCATATTCATGTACGACATTCAGAGATTAAATATGCACATATTATTCAATAGTCATTTTTAATTAATCACCTTTCAATAGAATCAATTTGATATTATAATATATGCGAAATGAATTGGGAGTATTTTCTTTAGAGATACAGTGAAATAATGTATGTAAAAACTAGTGAAGTTAAATATTATTATACTTAAGGTATTAATTGTATTATATAAAATAAATTAATGTCGATAAATTAAAGCGGATAAAGATAATTACAAGCGAATGAATTATAATTTATTATATATTATAAAATGAGAAAAATATCAAAACTCACCATGATTGCGGATTTTGATTGTAATCAAGCAGTGAAGTAAATTCCAAATATTCCAATGAAATAACAATTTAAAACGTTGATTGTATCTGAACTAGGCTGGTTTAAACAAAAATACGCAGACACTTCGGATGACTACTGATCGCAAACCGATAAGGCAACGTAGTGTTCCCACGAACTTCGATTCCACTCAATTGATTATAATTAATGAAAAATGGCGAATTCATCGTCACACACCAGCAAATAAATTTGGGCACAAGTTGATTTACTGAGACCAAAGTTCACTGGCGTACAATAGATATATCAGTTAGGTGCACTGGTTTTCTTTCATCATCTTTGAAATTCGAGCATCGCAGTCGGGATTTGCGATCTTGCAAATTTGTGCTTCGCATAAACATGGTTTCCATTTCATTGAGCTGACTCTGGCTTTTTATTCTTGTTCTACAGATGACAATTATTTGAAATGTAACATTAAAACGATCGTAATTAATAAAATAAAATTCTTTCATTTGTCTAAATATGTTTATGTTGTTAATCTATCTTTTTATTACTAATTATATGAATTTATTGGTATTATTTAATTTTACTTCATTGAATTAGTAAAAGCGATATAAAAATATTAAAAATTAATATACCAACAAAATCAAATTAGCTATTTGATTAAAGGCATATAACTTAATTAATTTCATTTACAATTCACTTATAATCATATAATTAGCTACTTTACAGTAGGCAAATAATACATATTTTATGTATTATTTTATTGCTACGAAAAATAAATAAAAAAAGATTGTATATCTAGAAAAACATTGGTTAATTAATTGAATTAAAGATTAAAATTTGTTTTGTTAATTCTTGAATGTTTAACATGTACATTTTAAATTAAAATAAAATATAATTATTAAAAATATAAAAATCTTATATTTTAGACGCTTGATAATTATAATGTTTAAACAATTGTTAAACTTATTAAAATAAAATATAATAAATACGCATATTCTTAATTGAAAGAAAAAAAATTATTTTAATACAGAAAAAATATTTTAATTATTAAGAATTTCTTATTTAAATATATTATAAATCTTAAAAATTGATTAAATATTATTGAAATAAAGTACTTTTCCATCTATAATTTGGGTTACTTTTGCATCAAGTTAGTTTGCTTAAAAATAGTCGTTCTACTACATTAATATTAAAATGTCTATTGTGCGTTAGTAACAGCTGATCTTTTTATTAATTGTCAAATTATTAATTATAAATTTATATAAGAAATTCGGTTAAATACGTTAATAAAAATTTGATAATTATAATACGCATATCAATAAAGTTAGAGTAATAATTAATATTTCTAATATATCATTATATTACAATAGCATCTCTTTAAATATTTTAACTTTCCAATTTATGCTTTTCTTATCTTTAGTACTATAACAAATAAATATTGTAATTATACAAATTTAAAAAGAAAATTACACTAGAGTATAAAAATAGATTAAGTCTTATCTGTAACAGTTACGTTTACTAAAATCAATTTACATAAGAATTACTTTTTACAATTTTTTATTATGAATTTAATCGAGAATAAAGTGAATATAAATCAAATATTGATATTTAATAAGAGTTAAATATTATAAGTCGAATCTTAAACCCAAAAATAATATTCAATATATATATATATAATGATAAAATAACAATTTTAAAATAGTTTAAAATGGGATATAAATATTTAAATTTATTATTTTACTTTACATTCTGTATATTAAATATATTCACTTTTTTTTTCTTTTATAAAGAATTTTAATATTCCTTAATTTAATCATTCTCATAAAACCTATCTAATGATAAAGTAAAATAATGTAAAATAATATATACATACACTGATTCATATCTATCGTTTTTAACTTAATTTCCATTTGGAATACAAATAAAAATTTTAAAATTGAAATCGTAGATATTGGAATGAATAGAATTAAATGCAACTTATGCTTTATGTGCTTGACGAATGGGGAGACCTTCGTCGTGTTAACATACACAATATATCTCATTCGGAATGATAAATTGTGATAATAAAGTCACAAAATAAATTTTTTTCTTTTTATTATCTCGGCTTTAAAACTATTTCTATTTATAATATGTAATATGATATTTATATGCAACTTCTTCAATTCTTCTGAAATTTCCAAATGTTTTTTGGTATTACATTTTGCTTAGTTTTATGAAAATAAAAAGAAATAAATAAAGTCTAAAAATATTATTGATTTACAAAAGAATTAATAATAGGTTTAAACATTTTTTTTCTGTATTAATTTACTGCTTTTATTGAATTATATAAGTGTATAAAAATCTATTACTTATACCGTTCGAAATATTAATAAGTTTACAAAATTAGTTATGCTTTATAAATTGTACTCGAACATTATAAAAAAATAACTTATTTCCTTAAAAATAAAGACAGAAGTGATCCGTTTATTAAAATGAATAATAATCACATATAATTCTGTGGATAAATGCCATTCGAGATTCACATTAAAAATCCCCTTAACAATACATTTTCCTCGCTTGCTTTTTTTCTTTCTACTAATATTCCTTTCATTTTCATACATTTTTGTATTTATAGTGTTGTCCTCGTGAATTACATGTATATTACACAGTACATACTGCTAAAAAGATCGTTTCTCGAGAAATTATTAAATGTTTACATTTAAAGTAAATTTTAAGTTTTCCTATTCTTAAAATTTCTTGAAAAAAAATTAATTAGTAATTAAAAACTTTAGATATTAAATCTTTTTTCAAACTCTAAACTAATTTTTACAAATTGCAAATTAAAAATAAGTTTTTCCAAAAATTATTAGATATAAGTTATGTCCAAGATTTATTAATGGATTTTGTCAGATTACCGTATTATATTTGCTTTAAATTTGAAAATTTACTATAATGAAATTTTTAGGCATTTTTTTCTTATATCGTATTTAAATCATATGTATATATATATATAATCTTATAATATAATGATAAATTTATTTTTTGTTTAATTATAATTCTAAAATTGTAAATAATTTATTCTTATATTCCCATTCAAATTTATATTTAAAATCATATGTACATATATATATTTAGCCGCTATCTTCTAAGTAGATGTAGTCGTTTCGAAAATGATTTCGAAGCATTTATTATTTATACGGTTAGATTTATCAATCTACTCCATTGCTTTCAACCGTTAAGCCAATAATAAATACAAATAGTGACACAAATAATGTATTTCATGTTTCTCTCCTTAATATATTCCATCTATTTGTATGTAGGATTATGTTGTCAGTACCAATCTTTAAATCTTGTTACTGCTTTCTTCCAATTTTCTATTGTCGTCTTGTATGCTGACTGCCTTTCTTTATTAGGACAAAATATTTTTTCAACTTTTCGCAATTTCATAATTTCTTCTTTACTCTTCCAAATACCTGTTTATTAAATATTTATTAAATATACATTATATATATATATTATATTTTTATTCTAACTCGTTGCAGAAATCTTATTCTATTAGTATATTGGAAATTAATCAATAAATGCGTTGACATTTATTTATTAAACCAATTAAAAATTTTTTGAAACGATTGTTGAAAATTTTTTAATTTTTCTAACAATATTTATTAAAAAATTAATTTTTGTACTCAAATGATACATATACAAATTCAAAAAAACTAATAAATAATAGGATTGAATAAATGGTAACAATTTTTTTTTTTTACTGACCTTTCTGTAGTCCAGCGCAATACGCGACTCCCAAAACCGACATTTCAATACTTGTACTCCGTTCTACATTCAATCCGGTTAAATCAGCTAAAAGTTGCATGGCAAAGTCATTTTGTGATACCCCGCCATCAACCCTAAGAAAATAAAATATGTCAAACTATATGATGTATTATTTCATTAAAAAAATATATCATTAAATACCTTATAGATCGATATGAAAATTTCGTTTCCCGCTGAATGCACTCGTATAACAAAAGAATTCTAAATACCAAACTTTCGAGCATTGAACGCACAAGATGAGCTTTCTGGGTAGTTGGTTTGATTCCAAGAAATCCAGCCGCAGCATTATGATTACTAATGGGTGCCTATTTTAAATAGGATTTTTTATTATGACTTTTAAAATAAATATATCAATATATATGGGAAGAAAATAGGGGCGAACGTGAAGCCATTAGTTAATGTTATGTTTATAGAAAATATACTCCATTAGAGTATTATAAAATTTGTATTATAATTTACTGCAATGTTAATTGTACGTTGGAATAAAATATTGAGTATGTGGTTACCGACAAGTACAAGTTCAAACTCGTTTATATGTTCAATTATCGTAATGGACAGACGATTCGAATATGATTCAAAGGTCTAAGCCATAAAAGCTCTGAGGATTCGAGAATATTTGCATGAGGCCGATCTTATTAGCTTGTCCAGAAATTATAAGAACCAAGTAATATTGGCTTAAAAGTCAATAATCATTCGTCGATAATGTCGTTGGGAATTGTTTCGAGATCAAATTTCTTTAAAAAATATATCCCCACGGTACGGATACAAATACTATGCGTTTTTAAGCATAGTAGTTTGCTCTTGCTTCTTCCTATTTTTTCAACGTTTAATTTATTTATAGCTTGTAACAAATTACTCATATTTTTATATCTTTTGATAAAGAGGTAATTTCGTGAATTAATAGTATTTTACAATTACCTTCATCTTTTCATGATTAATCGGTAGATAAAGGGAGGACAATATGCATACACTTTATAAACATTTATTTTAATATTTTCGAGACATACCGACCAATAAATATGGCCTTAACATTAAATTTTACTTGTTAAATGTTACCTGTAAACCGCTGAAGGCAGGTATAAAGTAAACCCCGTCGGAATCGTTTACCGAAGTCGCTAATGTATACGTATCCAATGGATTTTCAATTAATTCTATAATATAATAAATGCGATTTAAATAAAATTCAATAGAATTAACGATTACGTATGCCATACATCAAAATATAAAATATTTTAATATTTGAATTGTAAAAAGTTACCTAATGATTTCGTCCATTCGATCACAGTTCCAGTATCATTTGAAGATCCTTCAACGACATAAGCTAACTCATTCCCATAGCGCCATCCAATTAATGGATATAGAACTAAATATAACAAGAAATAATGTTAAAATTTCGTATGCCCAAGGTGTGTTAAACAAAAGTAATGTTTTAAAATAAATAAATATATAAATAAGTTTTAACTATGCAGAACAAGTATAATTCAATAAACATTGCAAAAAACTTATTAATATTTACAATAAACTTAAATAATAGCTATAGAGTTGAAATATTAAAACATTGATATTTTGAATTTGAATTATCAAAGTAAAATTTTACAATTCTTTTCACAACACAATGAAGTACTGCATTTATATTTCCATAAGTATTTCAATTAAATAGTGTTAGTCGACGATCAAAGTTAACGCAAATTACTACAACAATAATTATCTTTGCAGATATTTCTAGCATAGATTTACGTAAAGTAAATTATGCAGAGGATTACCGGTAATCATGGCGTGCGGTTCCTTGCCAGTATTGACGTTAATGAAGCTACCAGTTCCCATGGTGAGCTTCATGTCGCCGGGCTCGAAGCAGCCGGAACCAAAAAGTGAGGCAGCCTGATCGGCCATTGAACAGGTTATTGGAATCTCGACACCGAATAGCGAAGCTGGTATAGAGCCAAAATCACCCGCGGTGTCAACGACTCGTGGAAACATCGTTGCCGGTAGTTTGAAAAGCATTTGCGCCCAACCTGCCCATTGCATGGTAAAAGGATCGAATAGACCTGACGCCGATGCACTTGACACGTCTGATACATGTTGGCCTTCGTTTTATATCGCGTTGAAAAAAATGAGAGAAAAATTATTATAATGCATCGGAAATATTTCCCTAAATAAACAATAACGGCAAATTTATTATTAGTACTATTATTATTAGATTTTTATTGTTTAGTATACGTTATTATACAAATAATTGTTAAAAGAATTAATGGTCACATATAGGCGTACATGGTTATTATTGAAAATATTGGTAATTGCAATTAATAGCTTGAAAATCAATTATTGGATAAATTTATAATGAAAACGATCTAAAGGCTGGCTCAGAGTATGAAAAATAGTTTAGTTTAGCACTAAAATTTATTTATATTCTACAATAAATGTTTTAATAAGTATTATTTAAATATTCAACGAATTAGAGATTATTTAGAAATTACATTATGGATGAAAAACAAGTAACCACTTGTATCTATCAACATAGATTAATTGGAAATAGTAACGTGGTTGTTTTGCTTAAGAACATGACTCATCATTTTCTCTTAAAATTATATAAATTCCGATAATAATTCTCATTTGCATTATGACCCTTATTCTTTTAAGAAGTGATGAAAATATTAATGTACATATTTCAAAAATATTACCTTACATAAAATTAAAAATTAATTTACTCGTTTATTTCTCATATAATCAACTTGTTTACCGGTCAATTTGTAAAGGAGCCAGCAGTCAACGCCTCCAAACACAGCCTTTCCACTAATAGCAGCATCTCTCAGTCCTTTCACATTTTCCAAAGCCCATAACAAGCGTAAAGTCATCTGTAATGGGCGGTAATTGCAGTTTTCTATTATTAAATTTGTTAGTCAACATTCATTTCAAATAATCAATAGCAAAACATCTATAATTGGTAGTATTGTTTGGCAATTTCTTAAAACTAAATATCTTTTGTCAAATTCCTAAAGTTTTTCATATTTTTTCAGGGATACACTAAATTACTTATTACATATAATAATAGATTATTACACATATCTAAGTGTCTGATTATATTGACTGATAAATCGTTAATTACTTATATAAAAACAAAAAAAAAATGGTTAATTTTAACAGATAATATATGATCTATAATGTTTTCGAAGTTAGATATCGCTCGTAAGCATCATTTAATTTTTCTGTGTGCATGCGCTTAGTGCGATATTAAATCAAATTTTAGGTAAATTACTAGTGATAAATCGTTAATGCTTAATTTATATTCTTTAAGAAATCGTTAAAAAATCATTAGCTAACATCATTAGATTGATTATAATTAATATAACGTCATATTTCTCTAAATAATACGAATTAATGTTAATTTTCAAAGTCAATTCCAATTGTTTTCTTCACACAATCTGTCATTATATGCTTTAGAATACACAATTCCTAAGTTTATGAACTTATTCTTATCTTCTAATTGGTTTCTTGTAAGAACTTCTAAGATTAGATGTCAATTTTACTACAAGATAAATTATAAATTTTTAAACGACAGATTCAATTTTTTGGTAGTACATATTAATAATTTAATGATTAATCATTTTAATACTTAAATATATTCTGATTATGCATATTTAATACAAATAATTTAGAAATCACATTAAAAATCAATTAATTAAAAAGTAATTAAATGTAATAATAAAATATTTGATGTATATAATATCAGAAAAGTTATAATATAGTCAATTAATAGTTTCGTTAAAATGTTTAATTATACGCTGTCCTAATTAAAACATAATGCCATTTGTCTATATATATATATATATATATATATATATATAGAAATATTTAATTTCTGTATATAAATCATGTTTCCTATTGAAATATACTGTAAATGTTTGAATATACGAAATCCATAATAAGCAATCAGATAGACTATTGTATCAATTGAATTAAAACTTATTCAATTGATATAATATAATATAATTATAGTTGACACAAATTACTAAGGAATCGAATTGGCTATTTTTATATTAAAGAATGTCATATCGTTTAACATGCTATTAATATACAGCATTTCAATACAATTTGAACAAAATTATTACACATTTGCCAATGAATCATTTATCGGTAAATTGTTAACCTGGGTATTCATGAGCCGGAGTACACTTCCTGCTTGATATCTCTTATTTCGGAAAATCGTATATAATAGTCGCGAACCCAGCCGCAAACAGTGCATTGCGAAAGATGAATTCCATTCCTTTACCATTGAATCTGCACGTAAATCTTTCCATGTTATAAAGCTGTAACAGTTTTATACATCAAACTCAATTGTGACTGTTTAATGAAATTGCTCTAATTAAATTGAAAAAATGAATCAAGCATTCTATTTATATATAATTCAACCATTTACAAAAACATCTATTGTTACATCTATTGAGCCATTGAAATATTAATTTTATATAAGTTTTTAAAATTCATACTTGTGATAGTGTTTTCCAGATTCAAGGTCCCATGTGATAACACTGCAACGTTGAGTAGAAATACCTAAAGCTTCGACTTTCGATGGTTCGATTTCGCTTTCTAAAACATAATTTACTATGTTGATTTATAATATGGATGAATTTATTAGAAATAACAGTTACTTTACACGCACTAATAAAGCATTTATTCTAATTTTTTTTCTTTTGAATATGCATAAAGTTCAAGTATAAATAACAAATGATATTATTAGAAGGGCATCTTTCTACGTGTAAGACAGTTTTATAACAATATCAATAAATACCGAAGACGAAAAAATATTTTGCCTCTTTATAAATATGATTTAAGACATTTAAACATCATTCTCGAATTTAACAAAGTTACAAAGCTTTATTATGAACTTTCAAAGAAAAATATTATAACCTTGCAAGATTTTTTGCAAATATTATTTATTTTAGTAAATAATTCGTGCTCCATATAACTTCTATTATTTACTGTAAATTAAATATCATACCACTAAAGCATTTTTTAATAACACGAATAATGGCCTCCCACAACCAATCTGGATCGATTTCAATATGACCGATTTTTGGATACAATAGTTTCATCTGTTAAGAATAAAATTAAAATATATGTATATAGAAGCATTCAAATTAATTTAACAAATATTAAACTTTCTCGATAAAATCGAATAAATTAATATAATAAGGAATGACTGTAATAAAGTAAAATATGAAATAGAATAAATGAATAAGAAATAGAAAAATGAAATAAAATAAAAAATGAATAGAGAAATTTTATTTTAATTCATTATAGACTTATAATGTTAGCGATTAAATATCAAAAAGGCATTCTCACACTTATGAATATCGCTTAATATTGATTAATAAAAAATTATTTACAAGATGAGTGTATTTAATTGATAAACTGGAATCGCATGAATATCGAATCAATGCTTTAATTGTCTACTGCCAACAAAAATATTGATAAAATTGTTTTAGTAATATATGATTAATAGATGGAACTCATCAAACAAATTTTACTTTTCTTTAATTATATTGCTATGAACTTTATTATGAGATATTCTTGTGAGGTAGTAGAAAAATTTATTATCTTTTTTCTTAAAATATTTATCAGATATGATATAATCATAAAAAAATGTGTAGGAAATCGTTAAAAACAAAAAAAATCAATATATAATAAAATGAATATGAAGGATTTCGTTTTATATATGAAAATTTTCCGGTGCAAAATTATAGCTACAAATTTATTTTTATTATTTTTATTACATTCGATTTAATTAAATGTATCGTGGATTAATACATGATTTTTATATTTTATTATATAAGTTGATAATATACGTGAATTATCATTGTGAGTTAAATGTTAATTAAACTATTCGATCTTGACTTGATGTTGACTTGTCGCATTGTTTAAATGTAATGATCAAATGTGTAATCTTAGTATAATCTTTTTTTATCCTTGTGGCTATCCTATAAAGTTCGAAATGTTTGAATGCACTAAACGCAAGTAAATATCATTTTCTGCTTTAATTAAAAGGATTTTATACTTAAAATGTTAACTTTCGATACGCATCAAATATTGAACAAAAAGAAAGTATTGTTCATGTACGCACGCACGCAGACGCCCATTTATTAATTCAATGGCGAAGAGGAGAAAAAAGATGTAATAAATTATTTGCACTTAATGCTTGTGAGTCAGCAATATTCAAACATCTTTCTCAAATAAGAAATAATAGCGTTTCACTCTTCATTTACGCAAGTTTGCATTACAAATGCTTATTGATCATTACATGATTGAATTGACAAATAAATAATTACTTATTTAATATTTCTAAGTAAAAAAAATTATTGTAAATTTATTGTTAATAATCTTCGATCGATTATTTAATCGAAATGCTTTTATTGTTTCGAATGCGGAAGCACGCTGGCGCATGCGCTTGCATGCATGCATTATGTAATTTAACTTCGATCTTAAGTTGGACGCACTTGCATGTACACTTGTATTTTATATTGTTAAATAAACGAATAAATAAAAGTGTGATTATATTATGTAGTTGAGTAATAATCGTGTGGCGAAAAAGGTATTCCATCGTTAAACTCATCCTCTGCTGCAACGGGCGAACAGGCCAATTAAATAAAAATTGGCACATATGACAAATTAAAGAAAGGACAATGAAAGTGCCAATAAGCATTTTTCATTAATAATTTTATATGATTTGAAAAAGTATGTGTTACTTTAAGCAAAAATATATATTTAAATGACTATACTTTTGATGGGAGTTAGGTATACAAATAATAAAAATCATAATAAATTTCGTGCAATGCACGGTAAGAATATCCGACGTTTTTTTTTTACAATTTCTTTTAACTCGACATTTACCAAGTGACACATTAGCCGACGTGCACATAACTTGGTAAGATAAAATAATCCTATACAATAATTAATGACAACTTTATTTCACACCTCATTATTAATAATGTTAAGAATCAAATTTTGGGCACGATACTCTCGGCTCGTCAAAACTCGAATTTCCACTCCTTCTTAACAGCATAAAAATGCCATTCGCATTATCTACATAGCGAAGGTCTCCGCGATCGTACTTTATAATAAAAAGCTAAGCGACGTGCGCGTTTGAATAGCTTTCGTCCCCGATTCGGAAACAAGAAAAACCCTCCCACAATATCCGTTTCCTCCATTAAGAGTTACGATAAAATAAGGAGTTGCTAAACCTTTTCGAAGCTCGTGGCCACGCTGCAACCCCTGTCGTCGACTATGTGGCAGCGTATTGTCGTCGTGCCGACGTCGAGGGCTGCCAGATACCTCATTGCGCCAGTTTCTGCCACTTACTACTTACGTCTTCCCCACTGCAGCGGGGATACCTAAATGCACGTACTCGACGTGTCGATCGGCACGGGCAAACTGGTACGGAGTAGGAACTACGGAGTCATCGGAGTTGTCGATAGCGTTCGCGCGGCCCGCCCTCCGTGCCGTTACGCCTACTTTTCTCCTTGTCGGGCATACTTCCTCCCCAAGTGGCGTCGCTGCGTCGTCTCTATTCAAATGCCCCGGCGAAAATTTGCTAGCTCAAGGAGAAGCTTAAGCCACCGAGTTCTGATTAGTGATTACGCCTACGTTGATTCTTATAGGGGATCATTGTATTAATTATAGAAGAGCTTTATTATCGAGGTCTAAAATTAGTTTATTTGTAAATTACAATTGTGGGAGCCATTTGATGCCCTTTGCTTATGTAAATTAGATGAAGTCGGTAGCAGCCCTGCACATCCGCATCCGAAGAACGATGACGCGAATGTATGCTTGTATTTTCACAATAATCATAATCAATTTTATTCGGCCTCGAAGCGCAGCTAGTTATATCATGCTTAATCCAAGCCATTGAATAAATTGCTATAACCATCCAATGAATGACAATTGCGGCGTTTTTCGATTTTTCCCTTTCTTTTTATTTTCTTTTTTTTTCTTCTTTTGCACGACTAATGAGCAAAGATGATTATTTAAGCAAGAGCTGGAACATGTATATACGACTTACGATTAAAAAGTTCATAATTTTTATCGATAATACGATGGTTATACGATGGTGTAGTATAAGCGTGCGTGCGTATTTTACTTTCGTGGTTTGGATGGATGCTAAGTGACCTGAGCTCGAAATTGAAAGCGTTAAATAATTCTTGCAACATATTCCCTGTTGTTATCACAAAACGCATTGCTTTCGTAATTAGCAAACCGTTACTACATCTCAAACATTGTTCGAAGAGAATTTATTTCTTGCTTTGTTTTCTTTTCGTTCCATTTGCAATAATTAAAGAGATTCTGTAATGCTGCAAAGATAAATTTGAAAAATCGGATAAGCAATTGAAGGAATATGCTAATGAAAAATTCATTGACGTATTAATTTTAGCTAATATCGTGTACCTTTTTTATCCGCTTGCGTCATAAAAAGTACTAGGGCTCTGAATCTCTTAACTTTTCCAAAGTAAAATAATAAATCGTAAACTTTATCATTGTTTGATACAAATTCGATATTGAGAATTGATAAAATTTCACTAAATAAATTAGATTCTAGTGAATCCTTAAATATATCTGGAAGATCGTTGGGTGTAATTTGCTAAAAATAATTTTTTTATTTTTAAATATTTACAATGCTTATACAGCCATGAAAGGGAATAATTATTTACCAATAAAAATTTATGTCGAAAATCACTGGATGCATTTTTACGCCAGATTGTCATGAACTCTACAAATGATCTTGGTGGCGGAGGTAAATCATTTGTTACATTAGTATTATGCGAACAATCTTTAACACTAACAGTATTATTTTTTAATTCTTCCAAATTGTTTCTCTTCAAAGTAGTCTTATTCTCCACGTCCGACTGCATACTCTTCTCTTCATTTATTTCTTCGATATCTTTGAATATAGATTCATTTGACGATACTTCACTTACGCTTATTCTCTTTAAGGTCTGCTCATATTAAAAAAATATCATTAAATATTACTTATAAATTAATAATTATATTACTAATTTCTGACTAATCGATCTTACTTGTTTTACTCGACGCAGTGTATTTGTTAATGGATCAACGATGCTTATACCTTCTCTACATTTAGGTAACCAAGATGGTAATTCTTGATCTGTACTTACAGTCTTAACATTTTGAACAGTTTGATCGCATTTATTTTCAGAACTTTTTGATTCTTCCAAATTGTTTATTTTCAAAGTAGTCTTATTCTCCACATCCGACTGCATATTCTTCTCTTCATTTATTTCTTCGATATCTTTAAATATAGATTCATTTGGCAATACTTCACTTACGCTTATTCTCCTTAAGATTTGACTCTATTAAAAAAAATATTATTCTACATTATTTAAAAATTAACAATTATATTATTAATTATTATTGAGCTTACTTTGCTTACTCGTTCCGTAACTTTTTCTAATGGTTGAACAAACTTTAAACCTTCTCTACATTTAGGTAACCAAGATGGTAATTTTTCATTATTACTTGTATTTATAAAAATTTTTTCTACATTATTTGGCTTCTTAACCTCAGGTGCGTATTTATTTCCAGAAGTTTTTAATTTTGTATTTAATTGATCTTTTGCATTTTCAACATTATCATTACTCTGTTTTATTATATTACCTTTAATTTCGCTCGATTTATCTTTTGTATCGCTCAAATGTGTTTTTTCTATCTTATTTTCAGTCAATTTAGTATTAATTAAATTTTTACATACTAATTTTTTTCCAATTACTTTTTCAATCGAACTTTTCTCATTACCACTTTCTCCAGATATAACCATCATCTAAAAGAACAACAAAAATTAACAATGGATAACAAATAATATATCAAACAAAATATATATTATTTTTCAATATTACACCTTTGATGAACTACTAATCTTTTTCTTAACAACTGTAAGCATGTATGCAGCTTCTTTATTAGAAGGTTCTAATTTTAGAATCTTTTCTATATCTTTTTCAGCTTCCGTGTAACGCTTTAATTCTATCCTTACAGTGGCTCGCCTATGGTATGCTTTAACATAGTAATTATCAAGTTGTATAGCAGTGGTGCAATCACCTTCAGCTGAATATAAACTATAAATTAAAGTAATATTAAAACGAATAGTAAAATTGAAATTTTTCTTAATACACATGTAATGAAAAAGCTCACTTATTTATTTTTAATTGACATAGAGCTCGATTAGCAAAAAAAGTTGCATCATAAGGAAATATTTGTATAGCTTCGTTATATTTGCCAATTGCTTTGGTATATTGCTGTTTTTTGACAAGATCGTTTCCTTCATTTTTTTTTGTCACCGCTCTTGCGTGTTCTTCTTCTAACTGTGCTTTATCAGGTACTTCAAAATCAAACTTTCTCTCACCTTTTTTCTCCGTTAAATTATTACTATCATCTATTTCCTTACATGCTTCATCCTATTAAGAATACAATTTATATTTAATTATAGATTTTCAAAAACTAACGTAATACATTAGCAAGAAAATTATGATTTCTTAACTAACAGCATCAAATTTATTCCAAGCATCATAATCAGAAATTCCATTACATTTTTTAGGCTTTTTAGGTTTTTTATCTTTAGCTACATCAGGGGTGGGAACAATTTTCTTTTTCTTCTTCTTTCTAATCGCAGGTAATTTCTGTGCAGTAGTTTAATAAAATACAACAAATTAATATTAAAGTACATAAATAGCTAGGTAAGACATTTAGTGAAAAATTGTAATATAACCTCATTATTTTTCATATTACGAATTTCTAAATCTTTTTTTCTCATTTGTTCTTCCCATGCTTCCATATCACAAAACTCTTTTTGTAAATCCTCCGAGTTTTCCTTTATCTGCTTTTGTAACATAAACGCATTATCCATCTCTGCGATTTTATAGACCTACAGGATTGCCAGTTCCTTTAGAAATTAACTGATATCTAATGAATTACAAAGTAAATCCGATAACAAGCAAATGCACCGGTAAACTTTATGTACATGCGAATTGTTATGAATACCCCAATAGCTTAAATAAATCTTTCGAGGTTAAATGCGCTTAAAGGTACATTGCGCATAAGTACATACGATTTATATTTACGTTAATACAAATTTAACGTTCATAAAGGTATATAAAACGTTTCTATAACAACATAGCATATGCTTCTCAGTGTTTTGTCTATTATAGAAGCTTTCAATTAAATATAATATGAAATAAGGAAGTTGAAGTAAAATTATAAAGTACGAAAGTTGCTGAAAGTGTTCAGAGAGTTTGAAACTTAGAAATCAAATATAAATTAAGTATGGCAATAATAAATTCAATTACTGACATTTTCAATGATAATATTGTTAAACAATTTCTATTACCATCTCTGGTATAATCCGGTACTACCAGCTGTGAATATCATCTAGTAATATTTCATATTATTATTAGTTGCATCGTGGTGGCGCTGATATTTTATCATCAACCGATGAATTACCGCATTTCTTTATAGCGGGAAAATAAAAATGAATTTTTTTTTGGATTTTATGATTGAAATGGAATTCATATGCTAATTGCTATAATTATGATTTGTTTAATTATATTGGTTATAAATTTAATTTATATAATAATAAATTTAATAAAAATACTTTATCAATTGACGTAGTTAAAGAATGTAATGAAAAAATACTTACATTGGCCCTTTCTTGCCTTTATTTAATAATGAAACTTACGTTGCACTATATAATTATTGAAATAAAAAATTATTTCAATACATTAATGGTCATAAATTAAAAGAGTAAATAAATATAAATGTAGAATATAATTGTGTAACAATAATACTTTAAAAAATTGTAATAGATTTTTAAATACCATTTTACTTTGTTGCAATACTAACTCGAAACACTTATCAAAATGTACAACTCTTCTTCTTGTTGCATTCGTGGTGGTATTATGGAAGAAAGTTTATGCGACAATGTAATTATATTGTAACTGCATATTATCATAACTGCATGCAACTAATCTTGCTCCCTGGTATTTTTTCTTGTTGTCAACATTAGAGTGATAATGAATTTTCTTTGAACTCCTCAATATAAATCGTATTGTCAGTACATACTAATTTGATGCTACACATTGCTCGGTGAAAATCTATAGAGTGTGAATAAAGAGACAGAAGAAAGAGAGAGAGAGAGAGAGAGAGAGAGAGAGAGAGAGAGAAAGGAAAAAGGAATATAAGTTATCTTAATTCAAAGAATTTACGTATACTTGAGCTTGACATTAGAGCCTTTTCAGACGTTTGGGTGTTTGCCCAACCAAAGTACACTCATCGTATCTTGAGAAATGGATGGGGCAAAAGTAATAGAGAATTTAGTTATTACGAGTGCACAGAAAATGTTTGCAATCGAATTTTTTACAATGATATCCTTTAGAATATAACGATAAATTCACTAACTTTTTGCGATTCTTCTTAATGATATGCATAACTAAGATTGTGTTTTAGCAATTTTTAAATATTAAACTATAACATTTTAAGTCTTTCTTTAGTAATTTTTTTATCTTGAGAAACTTGTAAAATAATTTTTCATTTTCTTTTTTTCATTCTTTTCATTAGATTTTTTTTCTTTTTTTTTCTTTGATAATTAATAGGTATTATATATACATTAAGTTTTTGTTAAAAATGTATTATTTGAATTATTAATAACCGTTCAAAAGGAAATCAACAGTTTACTAGTAGAGTGTTTAAATAATTTTTAATTTAAGATAAATCTCTGTACAAATTTTTCTATCATAAATTTCATGTTATCTTTCATCAAAATAACCATAACGAAATTTTAATAATTTCAAGCGAGATAAAACGATTTGAGTTTTATAGTCACTCTTTTATTGACAATAATACTATAATTTTTAATTTAAAGTTACTATCGATCTTAACGCCAATATAATTCTTAAATACTTATATCAAACTTCTTTCTTTAATTATATGAACGCGAATTCATATTTAAAAAATACATGATAATAAAATTGTTAAAAATATTATCAACTAAAATAGAATTATCTATAATGGTGTTTAAAAAGCTTTTTAATTTGGACCTAATAAAAATTTGATAAAATAATCTAAAATTTTCATTTGCTAATGTTTAATAGTGTTTATGCTTATTTGAAAGATTTTCTCCTTTTGTTAACGAAATTTTTGGCTTATCTTAAATTAAAACAATTTTTATTTTAGGCCTTTTATAAAAACTCAAATTTAAAATTTTTTAGCAATTGTCTTGAAACTAAGATACTGTAAATAAAATAGTATATGTGGCAAAAGCTTTGTAGAAAATAATAAAAATTAAATTAATACATACTTATCGATAATATAAATTGAAAATTATATTATAAAAGCCGTGGAAAATTTATTTAATCTAAATTGCTTTGCCTTGGATCATAGACATATCTATATTAAGTAAATACTATACACTCGAGTTTGTTAATTGTTATTATATCTACTCGAAAGCAATGCATATTTAATATGCAGTAATTATTTTTCATACCAATATACTGTCGATTGAGCATTAGATCTCGACTGTCTTTCACATTTGTTATGTTTTATACTCTTCAAATCACTTTTATATTATTCTCACAATTAATAGAGAATAGTCTGATGTTACCCTGACGATGACTCAACAAAGCATCATACGTTCAAACATATGTATATGATCTATATATATTATGTATATTTTTTCTTTGTTGTATTTGAATTTTTTATTGCTCATATTTTTGTTGTTGTTGTAATACCTATTTTAGGTTAGAATTAAAAAATTATTAAGTATTAAGCTTGCAAGTAAAATGCATTTTGTTTGCATAATGAAAGAAATGGCTTTGGTATAAATCTTTGTGCATTAAAATGATTTATATAGATCGATAGTAACTTTAAATTAAAAACTGTTATATGATACGAAGAATACATTATTCGAATCTAAATATTATTCTAATTTAAGGTAAAAATATAAATATTAGAATAATAATAATTTTGTATCGATTATTATGTTATATTCGACGTACGTCATTAAATATAACATTATGTAATCATACGTTGCTTAATGAAGAGTAGATATTAACGAAATAACAAAAATATTTTTAAAATATTGTATCCACATTTATTAGAATAAAAGAAATGATCATTACATTCTTTTAATTTTTCTTTCATTCTTTCTTTTTTTTTTACTATCGCTTAATATATGGGCTTAGAAATAAAATTTAATAACGAAAAAGTAAAGTTGAAAAATAACGATTCTTTCGTCAACGTCCATATATTTTAACTCATAAATGTTGACATAATTAAATATTTATTATTGTAAAATGATAATAATAATTATTCGTATTTAGACTATTCATTAAAAATGAAATTTATATGAAATTAAAAAAAAAAAAAAAAAAAAAAAAAAAAATTTATAACTAAACTTAAATTGTCCATACTCGTAAAAGTATTAATTTTACTAAGCCGTTTGTCACTTGAGCGAATAATAGAATAAAATAAGTTTAATCATTTTACTAAATACTTACTAAATATTGATTCAATATTATGGTAAAAAATACAAGACTCTTTTTCTCTGTTCTTTTATCTAGAATATTGCGGCAATTATAAATTCGCTACTGTTTATCTATTTAATATCTATAATTATACATTTGTAGTTCCTTGAAATTTTAGTATGCTAACAATAAGTGTTAATGTAATATACTCTCTCTTAATTATTGTTTGTTCTTATTTTCATAAAGATGCTTTTGTTTTATTGCTCAGCGACAGCGTCGCGTATTTCGATGCTTTCTAGCGAAATTACAAAAATTAACTAACAAGTGATAAATTGAATAAGAGCCAAATAAAAAAACAGTCACTCTTAATACACTAATCAGTGGAATCGTCCGAGCTTTACCAACAATATCGCCGTTAAAACTGACAGGGCGCGCAAGGTTCGACAATGCCAGCCGGATGGAAACTCTGAATTAATTCAACGTCGCGAAAAGATCGAGCAAGGTAAAGATCGATCGACCACAGTGGAAGGTTAAAAGCGCACTCTCGGCCAGGTAGCCTAGGTACGCTTCGATCAGCGTTATATGCAACGCTGCGCGCGAGCTTTCGAGCCTCTGTATTATAAAGCAGCTTAGTTGTTCGCCAACGAGCGGCTAGCGTGCACTCGTCGTTCGATCCGCCTCGATTTTATCTCACTCTGGCGTATTTTCCTTTCTCCGGCTGTTTATTAAGCGAGTGAAGCTGCTGTCGATTTCAGTGCTGGGATTATCGGGGGCCATGACATCGGTAGCCACTTTAATGCCCGTTGTGCCGTAGTCCTCGTCATTAAACGAGCCTTCTGTGAATATATCAAGAGATTTTCTTGGAGAAATTATGAGATACGTAGCTGGTGTTGTTTTATAATCGATAGTAAATATATAAGTATCTGCTAAGAGGGAAGACAAAAAAACAATAAATATTCTACTACTGCACGACTGATATCATTATTTCGGCTATCATTCAAATTCACATTATATACGAGTTTTCCGTTCGATAAATTTTTCCAAGCACATATATATATATATATATTTTTCTTTTTAATTTTTTACCGAAATTATCTTAGCCTTGTAATTATTACTTTCTATATTGTGAGACGATAGCAGTATTGGAAGTTTCAATTAATAACTGTTTGGATTGTTTTAAACAAACGACAAGGACAACGACGACAACAACAACAACAACAACAACGACAACGACAACGATATAATAAATAAAATGTTAAATTGACGTTGGTATTATTACGGATAATTAATATTCTTTCTTTGAAACGAGCTTTTTATCTTTTTTTTCTTTTCTTTTTTTCTTCTTTTTTTGTATTTTTTTTGTATCAGTATGATATTATAATAATGCTGAATACGAAAGTTTCGTCGTTAAAATTAAAAATTGCGGAATCAATCAACGAGCCAGGATATAAAGATCATGTGTTCGAAAACTATATTTGTAGTTTCGTCTGAAGGACTCGATCCAGACAGGCTCTTCCAATTTGGTAAGTGACATTTATAGTTTAATCCAGTTAACGAAGTAGGATGAGATAGTAAGTTATGAAAAAGTCGGAAAATGATTTGAAAACGTCACTTCTTTGCTG